CCACCCAATCATTTCATACCCCCACTGGCAGTTAAAAGGAAGAAACAGCTAAGACCACACATTGCTGCTCGAAGCACGAAGCTGAAAACACCAGCCTGAAGATGACGAATGGGACTTCGTCGAAACGTCGCCAAGACACTTCCAATTTTACGCGGGAGAAAACCCGAACAACCAAAGACATATATATATATATATATATATATATATATATATATATATATATATATATATATATATATATTACCTTGAATGTATACCCTGTCAGCCCAAATATGGGAGAAAGAAATCTTCTTTCTTTTTCTTTTGCCTGTATCAGCTCAATCTAGAGTCATCCACAAGCAGCAGTCGCCAACTGCGACATCATTTTACATTTTTAGGTTGCTAACAAAGAATAAAGAGAGAACTGGTATAGCTATTTTGAGTTCCATTAACTCTCTTCAGCCAGACTTACTCTTCTGAGATTCAAACCTGGGCTTATCTGCATGTTAGGCAGTTGTTATAACCTCTAAGCCACAGGCTCTCTCCCACTCTGTTAGCTATCAGGAGAGAGACAGGGGGAGGAGATTTTTACCTTGAATGTACACCCTGTCAGCCCAAATATGGGAGAAAGAAATCTTCTTTCTTAATACTATAATACTATAATAATAGTATTAAAAACAAACAAATGATTCCTGGGTGTATTCATATTAAACAGTTAAAAAGCAAGAGCACCAGGAAATTTTACAAAACTACAAAAGTTTTAATTCAATAAAACACCAAGCTTTCGTTGGCAACTGTCAACATCGTCAGGGTACATTCTAGTCGATGGGGAAGCTCTTTTATAGGTGAGACGCCGTTTGCGCCCGGCTCCTAGATCATTCATTCATTACCTGCATTTTCCTTACTTTTCCTGCCTGTGTGTGTGTTACTGCCCATTCCCCCCCCCCCAATACACTTCCCTCCACCTTCTCCCTCTCTTTGTCTGTCATTTGCATTCCCGTTGTCATCCTTCCTACCGCAGAGCTTTGCTCTAAGTATCTCGCCTTGATTCCTATTCTCCAGTCCCTCTCCCTCATCAGAACATCCGCAGTAGGAAGGATGACAACGGACAAAGAGGGGGAGAAGGTGGAGGGAAGTGTATTGAGGGGGAGCGTCCCAGGGAGGAGTGTGGGAGGAGAGAACAGCTTAGGCAGGTAGAGTTTATGAGTGATCAAAAAAGGGAAACAAAGGAAGGCAAAGAATATGTTACAGTCATATGAGGAGGGGGGAATGGGCAGTAACACACACACAGGCAGGAAAAGTAAGGAAAATGCAGGTAATGACATACAAACCACGACTAAAGTGCAGATTGGCCGGCTGGGACCCGTGACGCAATCTAGGAGCCGGGCGCAAACGGCGTCTCACCTATAAAAGAGCTTCCCCATCGACTAGAATGTACCCTGACGATGTTGGCAGTTGCCAACGAAAGCTTGGTGTTTTATTGAATTAAAACTTTTGTAGTTTTGTAAAATTTCCTGACACTAAAAGATGTAAGTTGAGCTCAGGTGGAAAACAATTTCCATTCAGATACTTCAATCTTATTTCACTACCTCAAGAGTAAACTCTCATTAAACTTAGGGTGTAGGCCAGGGGTCTTCAAACTTGGCCCTTTTATGACTTGTGGATTTCAACTCCCAGAATTCCTCAGCCAGGCACACTGGCTAAGGAATTCTGGGAGTTGAAGTCCACAAGTCATAAAAGGGCCAAGTTTGAAGGCCCCTGGTGTAGGCTAATGTATAGAATTTGAGAGCTAAGATAGTGTAATAGAATTACAATTTTATTAGCAGAAGACTCTTTATCTCTTGGGATGCGACATATTATAAAATTAAAAAGTCTAAAAAGTAGACCTCCTTTATCCTAGGAATGTAGGAAGAAGGCATGTTTGATAAAAGAAGATCCAGTCTTCCAAGCCGTATTCCAAAGGCTGGGAGGTCTGAGAAAAGCAGAAGCAAACCAGAGTATCCTGGGGTGAAATGAAAGTTGTTGGGAAAGGAAGAGTATCTGATAGGATAAATTGGAGGCCAAAAAGCAGCACTTGTGAAAGCTCAGGAAGGCCTCCCTGAATCTCTGGCTATGCCTGTGCACATGCCCCAGAGAATTGCCTTGAGTGGATGTGGGCTAATTCCATGGAATCAGAGTAGCCAGGCAGAACTATCTAAAAACAGAAGGTCAGGAAAATGTACAAGCCATAGAATTGTAGATAAAAAAGGAAGACATACATTTATTTTAGCTTGAAATATCTTTTGCGGCTTGCTTATCCAAAAAAAAAAAGGAGACATATTATGAATCAGAATCTCTTCAGAATTTAGAAACCATTTTGTTGTCATAGATATGGTACAAACCAGAGTCTATCCACTTCCATTAATCCTCAGTACCCAGGCATGGCAGCTGGGAGGAGCTGTCCAACTAGTCGGTGCTGGATTTCTGATAGCTTCTTATCTTCTCAGATGCAAGTTATCATAGCCTCTTGTTTGCCTCTGAAAGGTATAAGCCAGGAGTAGGCAACCTTGGCTCTTTTATGATTCATGGACTTCAATTCCCAGAATTCCTGAGCCAGCCACGAGTCATAAAAGAGCCAAGGTTACCTATCCCTGGTATAAGCAGTAAGAGCCAAGCTGAACGATTCTAACATCATGTTATTTTGCTTGCAAGCAACTTGCAAGTGTTCTGAGATGTTGATTTGGCATGTTTCAGAATATTAGGCAACAGCTGCTGAGCTGAGCATAGATTATAAGAAGGAAGATTATAAGAGACGAACAAAATACTCATAAGTCAGCAAACATTGGTTGCAAGGTAACAAAAATATGCTCGTTAGTTTAAGTAAACTAACACATTCCCTTATGCGTCATTAAGCATTGAGTCCTCAAGTGTTAAGTAATTATATATCCATATTTAAACCTGTCCCAAAGCTTCAGTAAAAAGAGATGGATTGGACTCACTTCACAGAATCATAGAATTGGAAGGGGCCATCTGTTGGAAGGAGCCATCAAGCAAGTCCCTTGTTCAAAGCAAGGGTCTAAATTAAAGCAACCCAATGGCTGTGCAGCTTCTACTTGTGGGGGGGGGGAGAAGATTTCCTTTACTTCTGTGGCTAATTGCCACCCCTGCGGTGGTGGGATTCAAATATGTGAACAACCAGTTCTCTTGTGGATGCTGCTTCTGGAAGTCCATTCTGGGCCTGGCAATAAACAATTAGCCACCGGTTCTGCCGAAGTGGTACGAACTGGCTGAATCCCACCACTGCTCCCCTGTTAAACTGCTCTTAAGTTAGGAAGCTTTTTCTAACATCCAGTTGGATTCTCTCTTCCTGTAATTTAACTTAAAGCCATTATTCCTTGTCTTACATTCTGGAATGATGGATCAGAGGTCTTGACCTTCTCTGTGACACTCTTTCAGCTATTTGAAGAATGCTATCATAGGCACCCTTCATGTAAGATTTGGTTAACATAGAAGCTAAGTGTCGGCACAGTCTTTGTGCTGTTGTGATTATTGGAAGCCCGATGAGTCTTTGGCTGAGAAAAGACTAAACCTAGCTCACAAAAGAACAAAATTAAGATCCACTACACCCAGGCCTCTGCTGGGCTCTGTTGAGGTCCTGAGGGCAGGCACTTTTGTGATTCTAATTCTAGTCTGCCCTTTACAAAGATATTAATGGATACCCATTTCTAGGTATATGGAAAAATAGGTCAACATGGGTGGGTGCATGGGGAAAAATGTATTTTGAGATGATCAAAGCTAGGAATAACTTCCATGACTGTGCCAATTGTTCACCCAGGCAACTACTCTGTATAGCCCATAAATCTAAGTTTGTTTTTTTTATATAGTTTTTGTAAACATTTGCAGAAAATGGAGTATCCTGTCTTCTTTTATTTTCTTCTGAGAAATTGTTGTAGTGAAATCATTCTTCTTTATATAGATGTGACAAAAATTGTTTTTAAATTAGTTTATGATTTTATTTCCTTAGTTTAGAGATTTATTAGTCATTTTACAATCAAACATTTTAGGAAATAAAAGAGTTATATATATATAACACGCACCAATACAATGAGGAACAATGCAATCCTGCTTGTGGTTAAAACAGCAAAGATCCACAGACCGTATTTCATAATACCAAAGGTGGGAAGAGGGAGAGGGAAACTATTGAAAGGCCCTTCATCCCTCAGCATGTGATGTGCATTTGAAACAGGGCCGCAAAGATTGTCATATAGCTTCATAAAAAAATGAAAGTTGATAAATTGAACCGCAGCATGCAGGTAATCCTAGGGATAGCATTTCTCTCTCCAAGGAATTGAGAGCAGAATAGATGCCGGCCCTCTCCTCTTCATAACTATGGTTTAGTGGTAGTAGCCCTCATTCTTTCTGGTGCTGTCTATGTGCATTTAAGATTAAGCCAGATTCATTGGTATAAATTCAGCCTGACCTGACACTTGTGCATTCTCCTGAAAACTGCACAGAATATCACAGGCATTCAGATTCTCCATAGTAATCTCAAGTATTTGATGCTCCCAGTTTCCAGAGCTTTTGAATCTACCTTAAAGTCAGATCAGAGTTTTGCTCTGCTAAAGGCAGCACTGGCCTCCTCCCGTTTATTTTCTCTTCTTCCATGGTGTTTTCCTTCTGCCTAATTTGTTTTTTTGCACGTCAGGAATGTTTGTGGCTACTCCTCACACTAGATTGGCTATGTAGCTATGTGCCCCATGGGAGTAAGAACCTTATTCAACAGTCTACATAAAAAGTGCTTCTCTGCTAGCGGAACATCTTGGCCCGCGCGAGACTAAATGCACATCGCCTCGGAATGCACTGGCTTTCTAATTTTATGAATGACTCTATTCATGCGGCCCCTCCTACCTTTCCAAAGTCCATCCCCTGGAATGTTTGGAAGTGCGCCACCGTTGCTATTGGCTGACAGGAGGCTCCTATTGGCCCTCAGCCCGGTAGGTGGGAGTGCCTGGGGAAAATATAAATACAGAAAGAACGTTATAGCTCTGTAGGTACTGAAAGTAGCATAAAAGGGGGTGTGCCAGTGTCCTGAGACCTTATAGAGGCAAGGCGTCTGGGAGACAATTTTGCAGCAACTGTCAATTCTGTCTCATCTGGATCCTTTGGGAGTTTGCCTCCCTGGTCTTTTTGATTCTCTCCTTCAGCAACAGTCGCCCTCTTCCTGGCCGCCTTTTCTCATCAAACAGGAATGAGACCAGCTGCCCTGACCCTCCTTGCTTTCCTGCTGTGTTTCTTGCTGGTGAGTAGTTTTAGCTAGACTAGCCCTTTCCCCTCTACTTCGACAAGTGAATTGGGGGGGGGGGGTGCGACATTACTGTCAGTATGACAGTAAACAATGACTAGCTGTCAAAACAGCAGAAATCATACTGGGCTTGGATCAAATTCTCATTAAATCTCCAGTAGAAGCTTCTAGCTTGCTTAGCCCCCAACGCTAACCTTCCCGAAGGTGGGGGGTGGGGGTGGATTTGGCTGACTCAGATCATACTAGGGGACGGGTTGGGTGCACTTCCCTTCGTGTTCCGGCTTCATCTGGCCACCGAATTCGGCTTGACAAAATAACAGAATGGTAAGAGTTGGAAGGGACCTTGGAGGTCTTCTAGTCCAACCCTCTGCTCAGGCAGGAAGCCCTATACCTTTTGACCTCCGAGGTATTCCGTAACACCCCAGGTGTTCTGTAACACCCCAGGAGGGGACCTAGGTGTTCCATAACACCCCAGGGGGGGACCCGGCTAAACCTCACCGCCTGCCTAAATTCAAGCCGGGCGAGATCAGGAATAGCACCAGCCCGTCGAGGGTGCGCAGCGGTTTCCTTTTCGGCTTCCGTCGATTCCCAGAGTTGCCGCTCGCAGGACCTCAGCGGGTCTCCGTAGCAGATGCTTTGATTGCTCTCCAGAATTGTATTCCCGCGGAGGTCGACGGGATGGAGACCTCGGCGCGGTTGGGGAGGGGGGGGGCGGAGAGAGAATGCCGGGACGGCGCGGCACGCAGCGCCATCTAGGAAACGGCTTCGGTGTCAGTTTTCACCTGCTGGTAGTTGGTTAGCTGGACGGTTTCACTCCCAGGGCTGCCGAAAGAACTGCCTTTCCCGTCCACTCTCGCTCTTTTGCAGGTTGCCGGCCGCTGCCCTTTCCCATGCCGCTGCGCAAGACATCCCCTTCGCTGCCCTCCCGGCGTCAGCTCGGTTTTCGACGGCTGTGGCTGCTGCCAAGTCTGCGCCCGCCAGCTCAACGAGGACTGTGACAAGCTGTCGCCCTGCGATCCTCACAAAGGCCTGGAGTGCAATTTTGGGGCCGATCCTTTAGCGAATCGGGGCATCTGTTGGGGTAAGAGGCGCAGAGTCTTATTATATCCTTGGCACGCTTAGGAGCGGAGCGGAAGGAGCCGTTCCTAAACTGGGGCTTCTAGATGAGGTGGATTACAGAGATTCCCAGAGATCGTGGACAGGGCCAGGCTGGAAGAGGGCTCTGGAAGTTGCCCTCTGAATGACAGAAGGTTGGACTTCCAGGCTGGAGTTGTATTTCTAAAAATCTACCGCTGAAATTGGAGAGAAGTATCAGTGGGTTATTTTTTAGCAATTTTTTTTTAAAGTCGTTTTTTAAAACAATTCTATAAGCTCATATAATGGGATTTCTGCATGTGTGTCCTATTAGGAAAATCCCGTGTTAATAATTAAGAATTTGCAGTGAGGTTTTACTTGATTCTGGCTCATAATACAATGTTCAGCCCAGTGAAGTTTCTAGATGATTAAGCACTGAGAAGTACTTGATGTAGTGAACAACAAATTAGTTACCCTCAGTTTCACAAGACAGCAGCATTGTATTTGGGTAGCAGGGAATGCTTCCAAATCCACCTGTCTTAGAAAGAGGCCTTCATCCATTGTTTTGTGGCAAGCCAAAGGTCACGGGAGGTCATATCTCCAAATACGCCAGACGACTGATGGGAGGCTTAAAGCATAGCTGTTCATCAGTGTGTGTAAGACCAGTGTTTCTCAACCTTGACAATTTTAAGGCATGTGGACTTCAACTCCCAGAATTCCACAGCCAGCATTGCTGGCTGTGGAATTCTGGGAGTTGAAGTCCACATGCCTTAAAATTGTCAAGGTTGAGAAACACTGGTGTAGACAGTTTTGGCTGGGTGGACCAATGGGTTTAACAGAAGGCAGGTTTTTTTGTCCAGGCTGTTTGGCATATAAATCTGAGCTGGACTGATCTCCATGCCCAAGGATATTTTTTTAGAGATATTTGGTGAGTTATTGGAAATAGGGAGATCATTCAGAGCTAATGAAGATAACTTGTCTAAGTGTGATGGAATGTGCACCTGGAGGAGCAGTGGGAGAGTTTTGGCAAAAATCTCTCAGGGTACCTCTATTAGGTTAGAAAGTTGCAGCTTTAGTTTGGCAAGATTCTGTCCATTAGGTGCAAGCAAATGAAGAATTAGACTTGATTAGATATCAGTGTCTTGTCTCTGGGCTTGGACCTAACAATAAGTTTTCAAAATACTGTGTCTTATCCCAGCTTCCTCTAGATTACTGGCAAATAAGATCACTCTGTAGGTACCTAGTAACTTCTGTGCTCAACAGTAGAGTCGTATACAAAGAGATTGGGGCAGTGATATAAATTTGAGAAAAGAGATATTTTTAATTAATAGCTTTGCAGAAGTGAAAGTAGAAAGAATGTATGTAGAAAACCAGACTGCGTAACTGAAGGAGGTTTGCTTCTTAGCAAACAGAGCAGATGACCTTTTTTTAATTTCCATAGGTAAGACTTCTAGGATGTACATACATGAGCAGACTTACTTTAAAAACTGTGACTTCCAGATGATCTGTCCACTAGTGGCAAACCTATGGCACGCATGCCAGAGGCGGCACTCAGAGCCCTCTCTGTGGGCAACATGTGCCGTTGCCCCAGCCTCGCCTCCCCCGACCCCCTCCTCACCAGCAGCTCCCCTGGAGGAGAGTCGCCCCCAAGCGTGGCCCACATGGAGCAGGGCAGCCAAGGACATGGCAGCCAGGCAGCATAGACAAGACTCTGCCCTCATGCCCCATCCTGCACAGTTGATGCTGCGGGGTGCGGTCAGAGGGCGTGGCCGCCATGGCACTGCTGGGCTGCCTGGGCAATCTGTGGTGGGCCCTGGAGGCGGTGAATGGCCCTGTGGGCAGGTGGGTTGGGGGATGGGGTGGGGCAGGGCGGGGCAGGGCAGGGGGTGGAGCGGGGGCGGGGCTAGTTTTTGGGCACTTGGTCTCTAAAAGGTTCACCATCACTGATCTAGTCATAGCTTCATACACCCAGTGGAAGAGTAGACAGGAAATAAAAGAAAGCCTATAAGCACATGCAAAACAAGTAAAAAGAAGACAATTTGTTGCAGAGCAAGAAGGGGAAGACCACATCCTTTAATGCTAGAATTCTTCTCCCCAGACCCTCCAGCAGAAGGCCTTCCAGCCCTGTCCCAAGCCATTGCAACCTGATCCCAGGCTGTGTGTGCTTTTCACATCCTGTTTTCACATGTCTATTTAAAGCTCAGAACACTCGCCTCTTGTTGACACGGCTCCTAAAAACCCAGTCCTGCAAATAAATATTTTCCTCTGACTTTTAATGGTGATAGCCAATGAGTTGCTGTGTTCATCACTTCTGCATAATCTAACTCTGAGGTTTCGGGTACCACTCCCAGCTTCAATAATTGGGGTTGTATATTAGAGCAGACCAGTGGGATGTGACCTTGAAGTCTTCTCAATACCTCCTGGTTATTTTTCAGGTCTGTTGTGTGAACAGTGCTCCCCGGTGACTATGGAGGTGAAATCCTAATTAGATGTAGGTTGGGAAATTTTTGTGCTGAAGTTCCGAGTGATTTAAGACTTCTTTCTGCAGCTATTTCAAAGGATGTTATGTATGTTCATTTGAAAATAGATTAATAAGAAATTACCTGGTTTGGGGGAGGAAAAAGAATCTTCGGTGGCATGGTTAGTGATAGCTTGCTCCAACACAGCATCTAAGTAGCTCATGCAATTTGCAGCTTCTAACAGGGTCCTCTCTTATAGATATGTACGTTATCTATGATTACACCTTTAAACACACAACTGCTAAAGTGGAACATCTTTTTTTCTTCCCTTCCTCAGCAAAGCAAGAAGGGCGGACCTGCGAATACAATGGCCGTATCTACCAAAACGGAGAGAACTTTCAGCCTAGTTGCAAACATCAATGCACGTGCATTGATGGAGCGGTGGGTTGCCAACCTCTCTGCCCACTGGAACTGCCTCTGGCTTCACTAGGCTGTCCCAGTCCCCGGCTCATTAAACTGCCTGGTCAATGCTGCAAGAAATTTGTGTGCAGCAAAGGATCCAAGAAGTATGAAGGTGTCACTTTTGAGTACAACTCAAAAGGAGAGGCCAGTAGCAATGAAATCATCTATGTGGGCAAAGGCGGACACTGGAAAAACCTGCCAGGTGAGTGGGCAGAAGACAGAAACTCAGCAACGTTGAGTTACTCAAGCTCCACCAGAGTTAGTGGGTGTGTTCAGTTAGGGTTAGGGTTATTCAACTGAAAGAAATATTCATCTTGGTAAAGTTGAGAAGAAATCATAGAGAAAGAGGATTTTGCAATTTATAATTGCTCCAAAGATCTAGAGAGGGGTAGCTATAAGGCCACAGAGTTGTATCTGTCAGGAGTATTTCTTTTGAAGGAACAAATGCTACAGAGTATCTAACCAGAATACCCACTAATCATCTTTTTTAAGGATGGAATGTCATAGGCTCTCTGCATGGTGCTGCTGCTTCAGGACAAACCTATTGTTCTTGAAGTAGTTTACAGAGATACCTCATTTATGATATATAATGGAAATATGACATTGCAGGCCTACAGTAGGTCTTATTCAGATTAGGTTTAGAGGAGCAATACATGGAAATCCGCAGCAATATAATCTAAATGTGACTGAATACAAATTCAGTGGCCAAGGCAGCCTTCTAAATTTGTTGTCTGTTAAATTTTTTGGCTCAGGCTGAGTTTTGCAATCTCTCTGTTTTTACTGCCTATATGCAATCTGTGCACTCTCAATAGTTTGTGTTTTCAGAAGATAGAATAAAGTAGAATTCTTTATTGGCCAAGTGTGATTGGACACACAAGGAATTTGTCTCCGAGGCATAAGCTCTCAGTGTACATACAAGCAACAAGATGTGCAGAGGTTATAACCAGCTGAGCTTAAAAATAGTTTTGTTTCAGCAACAAGAGATAAAAAGTGAACCTTGTTTTGGGGAGGTGATCCTAAGTAGGATGGGAACACTAAACAAAAATAGGGGTAAAAATGGCAGTACTCTGTTGCCCTTTTGGGATCTAAATCTGATGCTCCTTGAGGTCATGAAATGTGATTCTTTATTTGCATTTTGCTTTGGTTTCCAGCTGCTATTTCTATTAAACATGACTGTGGGTGGTGAGGGTGGGGTCAGAAAGCACTGCATCCAGATGAGATTTTTTTTTTCCCCACCTGATTTCCAGAGTGTCACTTTCTCAAGAACTCGGGGATTGCAAGATAATTCTGTGGGTTAATTCTCACATCCTGTTGGCTAAAGCACAAAGATAGCTGATTGTTTTGGTGGGTTTAGCCTAACGGCATTACTTTCTTCTCATCTGCAGCCCACTGCTAAGGCAGCCCAGACCCATTCTTAGTTGTTCCAGTTTTTTCCTTTCCTAACATAAAATGCAGACATGCCTGAGGATGACACAGTCAGGGACATTGTCTGCTCAACTCCAGTTGGCTCAGCAGGTCAGCCATAGGAACACCTCTCCCCATCAGTTGTTGGGCACTGGGCCTCCGGGAGTATTTTGCTTTTGGCTGCAACCTGGTCTTTCTATCTTTACAATATCAAACTCCCAGGAGACCGATAGATCTTCAACCAGGATTCTTGCTATCTGATATGAGTGTACAGGGTGTGTATGTGTTGCATTGGGAAAATTGTAAATAAATATATAAATTAGAAGACGCCTAAGAGGCACACATGCCCTCAGGGAATGGGAAATGGGAGGGAGAAAAGATACTTTACTTGATCAGAAATGATTTGCAGAGGAAATGGGCTTCAGAGGGGGAAAATAAAAAGATCTAGAGGCAAATGATTTAAAGGCGCAATAGCATCGAGTTCTTTTCTGGTTCAGGCATTTGTGCATTTCCAATGAACTCTTCCCCACCTTTTGGGTGGGGAAACAGAGATCCTTTGATGTACCCTAGAATGTATTTTTTAATTACCCCTCTATAATGCTGCCATCTAGTGGTTTTTTGGATCATCACAGGCTTTATAGAGGACTGGATTTCCTGGGAGGTTGATAAGTTTGTCAGAAGCAAATGATAAAAATGAGATGTTAATTTATCAGTTCACTCTGCACATGTTCAGGAGAGGTGGTTGGATTTCCTTCAGGAAAAACCAGCAAGATATCCACCAGTCACTGTCCTGAAACTAATTTCTGTTAAAAGTTGCACGAGGGCAACAGCATCACTCCCCATTCATGTTGCTGAGTCATGGTGAAGATAGTTGGGGGGAGCAACACAATTTATGTCAATATAGCTTTTTTCCAACACAAGGACAGCAGGAAAAAAAAAACATGGCTGTAAAAGTCACCCCTGAAGGGACTCTTACAGCCATGGAAGTCCCCTTATATGTCAACTTTTAGTAGATCATTCTTGTAACCTATCATTTAAAAATCCATGTTCAAATCTATTTTGGTCTTATTTAGTAGAACCTGTCCCCAGACATTCTTAGCCTTACAGGGATGGGGAACAGGAAAACACGTTCTGCAGATATCAGGTGGGCCCCACTGACCTAATACATTGCTCAAGTCCCCAAAGTTTTAAAAACAGAAAAGTTGGTACCTGAATCCCAGAACTCTAATTTGTTCCCTTTCTTCCTCTTTCTTCGGTTTTCTGTGCTATACCATCTGTCCTATATATCCTTCTGATGCCTGCTTTGCTTTGACTGCTTCATGAAATGCCCATCTGGAGCAGCAAAACTACCACAGAGGCTCTTCTCAGCATGAGAGGAACTTTGCTGGACAAATCTGAGCATCTAAATAATTGCTCAGTTTCTGAAAGTGCCCAGCTGTGAGCTACTCACTAGCAGTGCACTAATGGCTGCCAGTTACTGGTCCATCAACAGCATCTTGTTTGTAGTCATCCCAGTTGCTGGGATGTTTTGGGTTTTTTTTGCTCATGTCTGGCTTGGGGACTCTATGATAGTCAAGTAATGAGATTTTCCAACTCTTTCCTCAGGATGGAGACCATTCTTCCAGGATCAGGATACAAAGCAAGAGCGCAAATGCTTGTCCCAGACCACACGTTGGTCCCCGTGCTCTAAGAGTTGTGGTTTTGGCATCTCTACCCGCATCAACAGCAATAATCCCCAATGCAAGCTGATCAAAGAAACCCGATTGTGTCAGGTCAGGCCCTGTGAGCAGCCTGATTTTTCAAAGCTAAAGGTGAGATGGCAGAACCCAAAGAAAAGATGTGGTAACAGCCTTCCCCATTGAACCTCGCCGTAGGCTGTGTGGAGTTGACAAGAACTGCAATCAAAACGGGGAAGAGACCTTAAAATTATATAACCCAGTTTCTGGAAATCAGAATGGGAATGTATATATTAATAAAAAATAAGAGTTTCCTGCAGCCAGGTATTGAAGAGGTTTTGGGTAAAAAATGGGGTATCTCATAATAGAAGTCAGCATTCCCTAACTGATGCTGATCTGTGGCTTTCGTTTCAGGCACCCTAATTAAATGTTCTGTAGCTTGATCTTCTCCAGGGATATTTGGGACAATATATCCAGTGTTCTACTGGCCGTGTTTGCAAGAAGGTTTGGATGGGTTGCTGCAATGCACTACACTGAGGAAAGCTATAATAATTCATAGCAGTCTGGGCCTGAAAGAGGTCTAGAGGTGTAGCATTAAATGCTTTTCTTCCCCCCCCTCCTTTTTTTTAGAAAGGCAAGAAATGTCTGAGGACACACAAAGTGCAAGAGCCAGTGAGATTCAGTCATGCTGGTTGCAAGAGCCCACGCCGTTACCAGCCAAGCTTCTGTGGGGCCTGCCTGGATGGCCGCTGCTGTGTACCCCTGCATACTCGTACACTAAATGTACCCTTCCGTTGTCCTGATGGGAGCACTTTTACCAAGAAGGTCATGATGATCCATACTTGCCAGTGTGGAGCAACTCACTGCCCGCCGCTGAGTGAAACTGCCATGGGCCCCCAGTATCAGCTGAACGGGGACATTCACAAATTCCTGGAATGATAAGAGCATGCCCACCTCTCTCCTGATGGCTCTGACGGAGTTCCCAAATGACTTTGGATCATCCAAGCCCCCTGCTTGATCCATGAAGCTAAGACATGCTGTAGTTGCTCTGCTTCCCTGAATGCAAATCTGGAAGACTTCGGTGTTTGTAGAATGCATTGGGATACGTTGGAAATACGGATGTCCAGTTACTGGGAATGGATTGAATGGCACTGATTTCAGTCTCTCTGTTTAGTCCAGCCAGACTCAGGCTGGAACTGAGTCTCATGCTACTAGTAGAAGATCAAAGACTTCTGATTTTTGTTTTTGGGTTTGTTTGGTTTTTTTGGGGATTTCATGGCCCTCATGCTGGAAAGGTTGAGGAAGCACAGCATTATGCACTATCGGTAGCTGGGCGGGGGGGGGGGCTGTTGTTCAGGTTGCTAAATTCCAAAGTGGGCAGTTTTGACATTTTCAAGATCCCAGAATTTGAGAAAACATAGTACATTTTAAGTTGGATAAAAATCAACTATAGTGGAATAACTTGTCTTTCAAAAGAGCTATAATTCTGATGAGTTTGAGATCTGGCCATAAAACGTATAGGAACCTAATGAATAAGGAATTAAAAGGAGGTGTGAGACAAAACTCAGACAACAAAGTATGTATTCCCCCTCCCCTTGCCCCTGCCTCCTGTGATTTTTCTGATCAGCTGGCCAGAACATTGTTTACTTCTGCGCCTTGGTTTGCTTCATCCTTGTCCTTCAGCTTGAAACCCATTTGCTAGTTTGCCCATCTTTACATCCAAAGGCTGTCTTCCTGCCTGCCCACAGAGCCCCCTAATGGAAGGAGCCATATGCAATTAATTATCCAGCAGGAAGGGAAATCTGCATAAAAACACTGCTCATCCACAGTCTACCTTTAATCTCCTTCTCTAGTTTGCACTCTGTTAGGCTACCAGACTGTGGTTGCCAGTCTAGCTTTTAAGCTTCACATTCATGGAGAGATATCCCAAATAGAGGAAAAACTAAATTACTTTATGAGCATGTTTTAAAATGAGTTAAAGTGGAGTTGAAAGAGGATTGTTCCATATGTGCAGCCACTTTAACCTCTGCGTTAAAAGGTTTGTACAAAGATGATAGTTGCACAAAGAATTAAGTGTTAGACCGCAGCAGCAGAGATGTATAAAAAGCAGCATTTGAGATACTTTCCATTCTCCAATCAACAATTGAGCCAAAAAGCATCCTTTACAAAAGCACTTTTTAATAAACAAACAAACAAACAACCTATTCCCATTCTGTTCCTGGTGAACAGCAAAAGAAATGCTGAAAAAAAATCGGCAAGAGTATTAGAAGGGACTCGAGACATTTTGGGACAGTTGGGAAAATTTATATTTATGCATACAGCAAAGTATTCTCTGCTCTGAAGATTATTTTATGGATTTTTAAATTTTGTTTGTTTTGCATAAAGAAAAACTTCAACAATAGATTGGAGTGATGGCTATTTTGCTTCATAATGAAGCCTTCTGTGCATTACCTTCTGTGTGCGAAGCTTTTATTCCTATCTTAATCTTAGATTTGCTAAAGTGAATAGTTCAATGTTTCTCATTTTAGTCTCTGTTTTATGACCCTTCCTGCTTGATAGAAGGCTCTTTAGCAGAGAAACAGGATACTGCCCTTTCAAAATGATCTTCAAAATGGGCTTGATGTAATCATTCCAAAACAATCTTCTGCCAGAAACAGACAATGGAATGGATATATCTTATGGACTTTGTTTTATCTTGATTACTTGTAGGCATCTGATCCCCACTAAATGTATCCAGCTATAATTGGCATCAACCTGAGGCAAAATGAATGGTGGCAAGGGATTGTGGAACCACCAATGGTTCCCAATCTGTGGAGGACAAAGGTCTTCCAGGATGGGCTGTAAGGTGTACACATGACAACTCAAACCTAGTGAGATTACAAAAGCTTGTGAAAGCTTGTTATTGCTGACAATCACCTGAGATTTTGACATTCTATATTTTGGGCTTTTATTTTAAGATTAAAACTAATTTTTATTTGGTTTAGGGATCCCATGGATTGTGTGTGTTGGGCGCAGGGGTCATATAGCATAGTGAGTGCAGGCACCACATGGCTGATCTGTGGCTTATGTGGCAGTCCTAAAAAAACTTTCATTGTAGGGCTTCAGATTAAGGAAAAATTGAGAGTCACTTGGAAGGCACCAACATGTTTTTGATTCTTAGAACCATCACCTCTGAATCTGCAACTCTCTCAAAATTATTTTAGAGATGGTAACAGTAAAAGTAGCTGACTATTCTTGGGCTGTGGGGAATGGGCATTGCTATGCTACTTGCATTGGAATTGTACTTAGGACTTTTCCCCCAAATCTGTAAGGGAACGGGCAGGACCTGGCCTTATTTGGAATGCTTCTGCTATTTTAAAATATATTTTATTCAAATCTATGCTGATCCTTTGTTTCAATGAAGATAATATGGCTATAATTCTGTACACTGTCATGTCCGCAAACGAAGGCAAATATAAGTGTCCCAGGATAATGTTGTAGGATCCAATCTGAGTCGGTCACCGGGACCAGAGTTTTAGTCTTCTAAGCTTTCGGATTCCAGCTGGAGTCGATCCATTGTTATGTCCCTCCCTCTGCCCTTTGGTGGAAGATATACAACCCCTTGAAGAAGAAAATTGAGAGCAGTGAAACACTTCTGGATATCTTGAGCAGAGCACGGAATTCCCGATTCCTCCCAGATAAATCCCTCACACATACCCCTCCATTTTGCAGAAAACATCAACAGGTATTGAATAATCAACTGAGGAATCCCTCAGCATCTGGGAGCATAGCAGAAGGCAGAGGCATAATTGTTGAAACAATGCCCTGTTGGACAAACAAACAAATGCTGCTGATGAGTATTGCCAAATAAAGCATACCTCATGAGTTGGAATATTCAAAAGCAATTTTGCATAGTATTCAGCCAAACCTTGTGTGGAGTTTTGGAAGTCAGATTTAAATGTGTTTGCTGCAAGGATGCAGGTTCAACAGGTTTTTTTTAGAGCAGCGCTTCATTTGTTTTGATTTGTGGGACTCATTTTGCTGCATTTCTGTAGGTAGGTTTTGCTGTGTACTTAGCAGAATGCAGACATGCACATATACACATGTCCTACTAAATTAGGCCCACAGACCCTATTTCTAAGGAAACATAGTTATGTGCTGACACAGTTATCCAGAGATTAGAAGGATCAATGCTAATAGAGCACACCTCGCCCCTCCAATAATACTAATACCACCTGTATACAATCCTTACAATTACCAGGATTCTTTAATCTTTTCCCAATCTTGGAAAAATAATTGCAAAAGACTAGGCTGGGGAAGATGTGGTCCACCAAATATTGTTGAATCCAGGTCCTGTCAATTCTGGACAACATGATAAAAACATAGGAATGTGTTGAGTTATAGCCCGACATTTTAAAAAATACAGCAGGATTACTTTCTGATAAAATCTTCAGAGATCAATGTTTCTTTTGTCCCACATTGTTCATTTAGTATAATGATTAAACTGTTGGATGAAGATAGAAGTTGGGTGAATAACATTATCTTCACCTCAAAGAGATGTTGTGAAGATAATTTCAGAGCAATCCTACATATTAAACCCAATATTATAAACTGACATGTGTAAACAGATCATGTTTACGTGAGTAAATCATTTATGAATTGTAATTTTAAAAATTTAATTTTTTTAAAACTTTCTTCCTGGGTTAGGAAGAGATTGGGAAAGATGACATAAATGATTATATTATACAATATGTATAATTTTTTTTACTAAAGGAATTTTAAAATAATAAAAACTACAGATTTTTGAGAGAGAGAAAGTAAGGAAAATAAGGAAAAGTAAGTGAAAAAGAAAGAAATAGAGAAGACAAAGGAAAGTTATAAAGATTTTCTTAACCACCATTACAAGTACCTTTATACCCTCTCTCTGATTATAATAGAATTTGCTTCTTTCTATAGTCTACCCTTTCCAATCATCAAATCCATAAGTCATAATTTCATTCTTTCTTGTTTCAGCAAAAAGTCCACAAGTGGTTTCCAGTCACAAATAAATATAGTTATTGTCCTTTCCCTAATAAGGCAAATCAATTTCTTGATCTCTGATAATTCTGCCATCCTCACCAGCCATTCCTGCATTGTGAATATTTTAGAGTCTTTCCATTTTTGTGTTTATAATAATCTTGCAGCAGTAATCTGTTTTTATTTTTACTAATTATCTATCCATTAGTTCCAACACTAGATTAGTTCTAGATTCAACTGAATAGCAGATTGCCAAGGATTTTCAGGCTGTGATCCAGGTACCCAAATACTGTTCTTTGCTGAGTTCTTTATCTAAACTATAATTATGAAATTGTGTGTTGATCTCCATGATCATTCAGGAAAGTCCTACAACTCTGTAAGTATTCACTCTAGGACTGAGATCTGGTTAGGAATATTAATAGAACTTGTGAAAACTATTGTATTGCTATCAAAACTATGTCAAGATTCATAAAAAGGGAATAAAGCAAATGAAAGTCTTTCAGCAAAGTTTTCTCTGTGTTTTAGACAAAGTGTTCTCTGTCATAACACAGAGGCCCCAACTTTCTTTGTCCTGACTGGCATGCAGACCATTTAGTTTCTTCCCATATCCACCCTCTCTTCTCCAATTACAACAGGAATTACAGCATAGAACACATCTGTTATATTATAGCAATTACAGTATTATATTATAATATATTGCAATAGCAATAGCACTTAGACATATACCACTTCACAGTCCTCTCTAAGTGGTTTACAGAGTCAGCCTATTGCCCCCAACAATCTGGGTCCTCATTTTAACAATCTCAGAAGCATGGAAGGCTGAGTCAACCTTGAGCCAGTGAGAATCGAACCACCAAACTGCAGGCAGCAGTTGGCAAAAATAGCTGCAATACTGCATTCTAACCACTGCGCCACCATTACTCACATACTGTATTATGCCATATTATACCATATTATAGTAATATAAAACCTGAGGCTTTACTTCCTGGGATATTGTTCCCTGTACTTGTAGATGCAATATTTCAACGATTCTCCAATAGGCTGCAAGAATTGACAGATATTTAGGTAAGGTTGAAGGACAGTCAGATATAATATAATGTTATATTGATATAATGTATATAATGTTTTGGATCTTCTTTCAAACAATGGGATAATTTAAGAAGCAATTTCAGAAGATATTTTCATTAACTCTTCTAATTTGCCATGTCCGCAAAAATAAATATTTTTACTATTTATATATATAAATATTATTAAATATTATTTGATTTTATATAATTTATAATAGAGGGTCAGGATATTTTCTAAGATAAATACCAATTGGGCAGCTATTGTAGTATTTAGGCTGGGCTGGGGAAAACATTTAGTTTAGTATGTCTTCCTTTCTGCTAACTTTAAAGAAAGAGAATCATCTTGGCTCCTGGGTTACAAATATGTGTAATTTCACTCATGTTCTGTCAATAGCTTACACATTTTCTGTTATCTTTTGGTTTCATATCTGCCTGTTTCTCTGCTCATTCGTATTTTCTCTTTTGTGTAAATGTTTGCAGTGGGGAAAAAAGTACATAAAGAGATCATTGAGAAATGAAACATAGGTAATATAAGTAAAAATAATTTTGGAACATTTGCAAAACAGTTAAGTCTCAGTCCCTTTGGCATTGATATAATTAACCTAATCATGTGTAATTCTTGAGAAAGAGTATTAAATCTCCTGATAAAATTTAAGTTCTGCTTTGAAAGCCCACCTGACAACCGTGAAAATGCCCTGGAAAGGCCACTGAGAAAACATGAATCAGTTCAGAGGTGGAAATTATGAGTAAGTAAATGCCATTTTAGAAAAGCAGCAGCAGATTAGTAGCAGTTTACCTTTGCCTTTAAACAGGTAACAACAGGTGGCAGCCCTTAGCCAAATTTGACTACCTCAGAGTAGCAGGGCTTGTTCTTGGATGAGAGGCTATCATGAATCTCAGTCAGAGACTAGACTTGGAAGCTGAAAATCAAATACTTGGAAGAAGGTAACGGTGAACCATTTTTGTCCTCTTGCTAAAAAAAATTATATGGTCATTCACAAAGTCACCAATATTTGAGCTTCAGTCACAGAAGACTTTTTAGTCACACACACACACACAAAAACCAGACAAAACTTCTAGGCTGACTACAATGGTTAATTTTAAGTTATTACATTTGCTTCATCATGGGTTTCTAAATTGTGTGAATTTGAAAAAAAAAAAATACCGCAGGAGAGAAGTGGAAGACAATACAACTCTTTCTAAATGACAGTGACTTAGTGGCGGACTTTTGCTTCCTCACTTTGTACAGGAAGGTATTTACTTATGAAAATAATCAAGCACAGCTGTGCATCCCAGAGTCTTTCATAGAACTCCTATCGAAGACTAAAAGCTGTTGAAAGCTAAAACTGCATTTCAGCTGGAGGGAATACTTTGTGTTTCGGAAGACTTAAAAGACCAGGTTAGGGACAAATCGTCTTGGAGAGAATACCTAAGTGGCTGCTAAGAGTCAACACTGACTTGATGGCAAATAACCAATCAAATCGTAATCACACGTTAACCTCGGGACTTGTGCAACAGAGACCCGCTCGCCTCCGTTCCTTTGCAAAGGAATCCTGTTCACACTCCCAGCCACGGACTGCCGCGATGTCCCCATGTGCGTGAACCAGACCCATTTCCTAACGCGAGTAGGTACTGTACGACTTAGAGGTCGCCTAATAGAAGTACGGCAGCGAAAGGGTTAACGCACTCCCTCCCTTCTCCCCTTCCCTTTTTTCCCCGGCTGAATTGATCTATTAACCAGCTGCCACATTAGCTGGGGGGGGGGGCGGCTGTGAGGCGGGGCAAGGGGTACAATAGCTGCCTCTTTGCAGCCGGAGACAATCGATCAGCTCGGCCCCAGCCTCTTCGCGGGAGTGACATCATCCCTTCCAAATACCAACCGGCACTGCCATTGGCTGGCCAGGTAACCGAGATGGGCATTTCTGCTTCCCCCCGCCCATCCTCGCCCGATGCCTACTTTGTGGCGGCGGCGGCGGCGCTGTGCTCGTCCTCCACACACGCCCAGTGCGAGCGGCCAGCGGCACCGACCGGCCTAGAGTTCGCTCGCTCTGCTCCCCAGCGCAAGGCAAGCGAGGTAACCACAGCCGTCCACAGGCGCTGGGCTGGGAGGGGGGGGGGGACGGTGCCGGAGCTCTGGGGCCGGCGAGGCGGTTCCCGGCCGGCGCCGAAGGAATTGCATGCAAGCAGGGGAGACGGAGGGACATGCTGGCTGGCTCTTTTCCCCCTCGGCTTGGTGCTTTCGGGGAATCGCTCCTGGGAAGCAGGGGCTGGGCGGCGTGGCGCGGCGCGGCGGAGAGAACTAGGCGGGGGCCGCCGCGCGTCTAGAGGCAGCTCGCCTGCAGGTGCAGCTCGCGAAGGAGCCGCGCCTTGTTGGGTGGGCTGGGCTGGGCTGGGCTGTGGGCTTTGTTAAACTGGGCAGTTTTTGGCCGGGGTTCTTTTCCTTCCGGCCGAAAGGAAACGCAGGAAATGGATCTGGAGTCTTTTCTGGGCACGAACTCTTCCTTTGTGGCTACCCGCTTGGGGGGGGGGGGAGAAGGGAGGGGAAGAATCGCGTTGCTACCCTGCTGAACTCAAAAGGATGGCTGTCTGTTTGCCATCTGCGTTTGTGGCTGGTTTGTTGGATGGATTGATCTGGGGGGGGGGGTTATTTTTAGAAACGGAATTCAGACGTTAAGTGCTCAAAGGGGAAGGGCGGTGAAAGACTCTTGGCGAAGGAATAAAAACAACGTATCTGACCACCGGAACAGTTGCCGTCTCTCAAAAAGTCTCCATTGAGAGTAGTGGGTCAGAGAGGCGCGGTCGCCGGTCCGTTTTCTTTGTTAAGGGAGGGGTCTACGGTGGTAATGGGCGGCAGCCTCGCCCTATGCCGCTTTGTTGAAAAGAAGCTGATTTTTTTTTGTCGTTCCATCTCCCTTTTATTGGGTAAATCTCATTTTTTTTTTAAAAAAAGTATGTCTTCCCACAGCTAAAAAAACAAGCTGAGCGAAATTGTTATTTGCTCATTCACCAGCAGACAATTTTTTTTTATCTTCACATGGGCTCTTGCAGCTTCCATTAAACAAAGGAGTTGTGCTCCTCTGGGAGAGAAATATATAAGTCTTAAAGCTGTCGATATGTGAACATTTTGTATTAAAAATAAAAAGAGTTTCTGCTCTTCTGAGTTGGACTAAGGGGGTAGCTAAGCTGCAGTAATAACAATAATGACATGCTGAGTAGAATTGAAATAAAATCTTAATGAATTAACAGCTCTTAAAATGATGCTTAAGGGCATATGTGAGCTGTTCTAAAGAAAAAAAAACTTGGGTTAAGATGAATGGATGCTTCTTTGTGATAGACCTTAAATCTCATATTTTCCAGATGGGTGATGGAAAAGAGGCAATCAAACACGATTGATTTTAGACAGTGGTAGAAAAGAGAAAATGGTTTCCAACTGGAACTGTTGGCAACAGATGATGGGAAAGGTGGTAAAACTTCTTTCCAGAAGGTCATGTGAAGAAACCCAGATACTGCAATTGATTGTGACTTAAGTATAAGAAAATGGTGTTGCAGAGAAAGAGATCCACTACAGATGCACTCTGATTGCACTGAACAATCCTTTTACTGGCTCTGTTTTGTATCAGCTCCACCTCCCTCCCCCAAAAGACCAGAGCTAATGCTTGGGAGTTGTTTCCCCTGCAAGAACCAAACTAATGGATGAGATGATTCAGCTGGCTCTTTAGTAGAGGCAACTGAAGAAAAGCAAATGCAGACTCTGTTGCCTTGCTCCTTCATGGCATTGAGTTCTCCCAAGTGGGTTTGTTGGACCCAGTTTGCAAAGTCAATTAACACAGAGAATAGAGAGTAAATGACTTTATTTGTGTAAATAAAGTGTGGCAGGAAAAATGTTCCAAACGTATACACTCCAACCTTTAGATAAGCTTTTTTTATACAGTTTTTATAAACAGCATCCCCTCTTAGAGTGGATTCTTGCAAGAAAACAAAACTAAAACATTTTTTTTTTTGCCCCGTACAGCTTTGTTCACAGACACCCATGCTCTTGTGACCTCTCATCTGGACTATTGCAATGTGCTCTACATGGGGCTGCCCTTGAAGGGTGTATGGAAGCTTCAAGTGGTGCAGAATGCAGTTGCACGGGTAGCAAATGGTGTCAGATATTCAACACATGTAACACTACTGCTGCTGCCAGTCTGCTTCCAGGTAGCATTCAAGGTGCTGGTTATCTCTTTTAAAGCCCTTCATGGCTTGGGAATAGATTATCTAAAGGTCCATCTTCTCCCAGTCCAGCTGTCCAGCTCAGTCTGTTATGGCTCTTGTCAGCCAAGAAATATCTGCTGGCAGAGAGACCAGGAGACCTGTCTTCTCTGCTGCAGCACCTACTATCTGGAACATTCTCCCCTCTGGGTTAGGATAACCCTGTCCCTGCTGGCCTTGAAGCCCTGGCTATGTGCTGAGTTTGGAACCTCCAGTGCACTTATTTTTAATTGTTTGTGTGGTGTACACTGCCCAGAGTCACTTGTTGAGACTATGTCTATGGGGTTTCTCAGTCATCCAGGTCAGGGTTGTCCCAAAGATGTTTTTTTCCAGAGGCAACTGGACTTTCTTTGTTTTTCCTTGAAGATGTTTTATGCTTCTCTTCCAAGAAGTTTCTTCAATTCTGAAGTTGTTGAGACTGAAGAAATAGGCTGGCTATAGAAACCATCCCTACCCTATCCTTCCATTTCCCCCCTCCCCCACAACTGATGAAGTTTCTTGGATGAGAAACATTTTCTTCCTCAAGGGAAAAAACCCAGTCCAATTGCCTCTTGAAAAAGCACCTTGGAGAACAACCATGACCTTACCTGGAGGACTCAAAATTAACTACAGATTATAGAAATCAAATAAAAATGCCATTAATTATTAGGCCTTTGATCCCAGTGATGTTTGTTTTACTGCCTCTTTGTTCTTACCACAAATGTTAATAGGGACCTGCAATTAACTTGTTCTCCGGCTTATCTTTTTCCTACGGAAATTGTCTGTTAGTTCCCGGTTATCTTTTTCAATAATGAGCAGAAACAGTCATGAGTTGTCGGTTCCTCCTCCAATTCCAGCTGCACATGGAACCATAACAGCGTCCTCCCTTTTTATTCTCGTATATTCTATTATCTATTACCTCTTCATAACTCTTAAGCTACAGGGGCCTCTCGCCTGTCCTTTCTGGATCAAATCAGGGAAAAGGTCACGGCTGAAGGATAAACCAAGTTATTTCAGCAGCTGGGCAGAGGAGGGAATAAAATACATCCTTGGCCAATTAAGGGGGATGATATAGTGTCTTGTGACTGTTAATTAAAATTGCACTTCCATGTGACTTTCTGTACGCCTAAGAGGCTATCCTGTGAGTTTCCTTAAATTTGGGTCTTTTAACTATGTAACCCAATTTCCTTCAGTCACTGGTGCATTTGCAGATGCCTCGTCATACAGGAGCTTCCTTCAGTCTTGGCATTCCTTTCTCTAGAACAGTGTTTCTCAACCTTGACAATTTTAAGGCATGTGGACTTCAACTCCCAGAATTCCACAGCCAGCAATGCTGGCTGTGGAATTCTGGGAGTTGAAGTCCACATGCCTTAAAATTGTCAAGGTTGAGAAACACTGCAAATAAGCAGGTTGTCTGGAAATAGTGGAAGGTCATTCACATCTACGCAGCACCAACTTCAGGAAGCCTTCTTGGGTATTGTACTTACACTTGCTATGAATTATCCCAAAATGCTTTGGTACACAGGCTGACAAGACCACGAGGCTGATCACTCAGATGAGAGTAGGGGAAAAAAAAAAAAAAAACTAAACCAAACCAGGGATGGTGCAGTTTTTATGTGGCTCCATTGGATAGTCTTAGATGTATTAAGTTTGGTTGCCAGACTGAGTTTGGGTACTTGGTTTGGCATGACAATTGCTAGATCACATATTGATAGCTAGCAACCCTTTGCATTCTCTTGGAAAGACGTTTTACTAGGATGACGGGCCAGGGGAGCCCAGAGATATTCTGGTAAAACTAGACAACTTTATTCCACAGAATTTTCCATAAACTAGGAGAGAAGATGACTGAATGGGACTGGGCCATGTTATGATTTAATGCAGGGGTAGGAAACCTTGGCTCTTTTATGACTCGTGGACTTCAACTCCCAGAATTCCTGAGCCAGCCATGCTGACTCAGGAATTCTGGGAGTTGAAGTCCACGAGTCATAAAAGAGCCAAGGTTGCCTACCCCTGGTTTAATGGATACTAGAGCTGTTGAACACTTATTCACCAAAGGAAGTACTGAATGACATACTATAGGGCTCTGTTTTAGGCACTGTGCTGTTGAACATAATTATTATTTAGAGGACGGTTTAAAAATTGTATTATCTTTGCAGATGACACAAAAGTTAGGCAGAAAAATCTTTGGAGGACAATTTCAGGGCTGAATGGAATCTTGTACAATGGAACATTAGGCAAAATCCACAAAATAAATTTCATTAGAAAGACATTTATTTATTTAAAAGTTATTGGCTGCACAACTCTAGTGGAACCTGGGCAGCATACTAAATTTAAAAATCATAAAAACAGTGTGAAATGTTACATCAAAAGGCAGCCCGGGATACAATATTCACAAAACAAAGCCCGCAAAACAAAAGAGGAGCCATTAACAATGAGAAATGTCAACCCCAGGCCTGGGACCAGAGCCAGGTCTTCAAGGCTTTCCAGAATCCTAGGAGAGAGGAAACCATCCTTATCTTGGGGAGCGGGCAAGGGGGGGGAATGCTATTCCAGGGCTGTAACAGAGAAGACCCACTTTGTAAGTCCCACAGGATAGCTGTATTTAATGGAGGAGACCTGAGTGCACCTGATCTGCTTCAATGCACTGGGTGGGCAAAAACTATTGGAGATAAGTGGTATCTCAGATATCCAGGCTCTATGCCAGTGGTGGTGAACCTATGGCACGTGTGCCAGAGGCAGCACTCGGAGCCCTCTCTGTGGGCACACATGCCGTTGCCCCAGCCTTGCCTCCTCCCGTGACCCCCTCCTCACCAGCAGCCCCCCTGGAGGAAAGTCGCCCCTGAGCGTAGGCCGTGTGGAGCAGCGCAGCCAAGCACATGGCAGCCAGGCAACGTAGACAAGACTGCCCTCACACCCCATCGCGCACAGTTGATGCTGCGGGGCGCAGGCAGACAGCATGGCTGCAATGGTGCTGCTGGGCTGCCTGGGCAATCTGCGGTGGGCCCTGGAGGTGATGAGTGGCCCTGCGGGCAGGCGGGGTAGGGGTGGAGCAGGGGGCGGAGCGGGGGCGGGGCCAGTTTTTGGGCACTCGGTCTCTTAAAAGGCTTGCCATTACTGCTCTATGCCATACACTTCAAATGAAAAATGTTACGTTTAGGTACGAAAATTGGATTACAGTATAAGATGACAGAGTATGTGGAAATATAGCGGAATGGTAGTCATGTAGAATATGGAACAGGAAAAGTTGACCCAGAAGGCATGGCACAGGAGAATGGTTTAAATTATATGGGGATAGATTTTGGTTGGACATCAAGAAATATTTCCTGAGCTGCTAAGCCATGGAAGAGATTGCCTTGGGAGTTTCAGCAAGGGATGGATAACCTTTGTTGGGGGCGTTATAATTGTTGATTCGTGCTTTGGATGAGGGACTTCATAGGATAAGGGTGATCTCTTCCACCCCCCCCCCCGACCTTCCATGATTGTGTGAGAACTGCAGCCTTGCTTATTATATCCTCAGACCAAATTAGATTGGAGACTACTAAGGAAACCTGTCCTGCTAAACCCTCATGTGGAGTATTTTGTGTTGAAGGGAAAGATAGGATACAAATGTGGTGCATTATTGTCAGTTTGCAAGAGTGCCTCTGTCTGTGTATCAATAGTAGTTGGTCCACGCGGTGTACATGCATGTGCTGTTAGGGACTTGGACTCCTTTCTGCCTTGAGGTAGCCTGAATCTAGTAGTTGGTGACTCTGATTCTTGTTGTAGTTAGTGATGTTTCTTAGATAAAAATTCACAAATTAGCAGAGATACTAGGATCATAAGTAGGATCAACACTAATCTAGGGAACTTGTGTTGAGCGACAGTTATTAAATTTATCTGCTGACCCTTTTACAGATAAAATATGCATCAATGTTTTCTATGGTAACAAGAAGAGAGAAGAAAAGTTACCATTTCCCATTCAGAATCTCCTTTATGCTCTTCCATCACCAGCATTGTAGAATCTGGAAGGGCAAAGCCCCCTGATCCAGAAAGCTAATTGCTTCTGGCCCTCTCCACTCCTGTTTGTATATAGGACCTCTGTGTCAATTTCTTTTTGCAATGTTCTTTTTATAGGCAGTAACACTTAAGAGGAGAGCAGAAGTGTGAATACGCTTTAGAGGAAAATGAATTGACAGTGTGTATATGAATCTTATTTCAGTCTTTTAAACTGAACTTTGACCTGGGTCCATCTGTTTTTTTGTTTTTTGAATGCAGCTCCTGATAACCTGCGGTCTGAATGAGGTTGTTTACCCTTGCCACAGCAAGCTGAAATCTCTTTGCTCTGACGTGACCTCCCTAGAAGGTGAGTTTTGTGATACTCTGGCTATTATTGTAGGTCCTTTCAGATATGAGTATTGTTGTAAAAGCCTGTGACAATAAAATAAGGATAGTATCAGTGAACACATGACCGCATATCCTGATCTCCTTGTGTGTTTTGTCAGTACCAACTTCAATCCTATTTGCATCCAGTGTCGTCTTCCACAATCGGTAAGCAGGAGCTGGAAGACTCATTGTTACAGTCTCTCTATATGTAGTCGGTCTTCCTGGGGGTCCAGCAATAGGTATATGGTTTGGGTCACCTTGGTGGTGCTTCTCTTTTTCAGGACCAAATTGAAAACTGCAACCTGCCAAGCCATTCAGACACATACCACCCGCCTGGAGCCTATGAATGTGAAGATGGATGACAACGGCAGAGCTGCTAGTGGAACCTCAGTTTTGCAGACCAGCGGGGTGGCAACTGCTAGGAAGAGAGTGCCAACTGCTTGTCCCTCTGCTGCCAAGCAAAAGGCCAGCAAGCCCCCCCAGCCAGCAAACAAGCTTCCCAATAAGAAGCAGCCAGCAGCTCTCGCAGCTGGTTCTCCTTCAGTTCCTAGCGGAGCTTCCAAAACACTTGGAGACGGATCTGCTCGGAAGGCCAACGTGCAGCAGCCAAAGCAGCCGGCATCCAAGAGTAGTAGTGTTGACAACTTGTCTGCTAGAGCAACAGTGAAAAAGGCAACAGGGGACAGGGCAAGTGGACTGAAGACGTCGGGAAAGACAGCTACAGAGAAGGAAGCGCAGCAGAAACCCCCAAAGGTGACCACACAGCCCATAGGTATGCTTTTGCCTGTTTTTCAGCATGCACGGAGTAATTAATCCTGGACTTGGTTCATTCCTGTATTTTCAGCATCTTTCAGGATGGTTTTGGTCATGCTTTTTAAAGGGTACTAAGTGTGCTAAACTTACTGATTATTTTTTTTTTACTCAGGGGAAAAAAAAGCATTGAGAGCCATCTAATACTAGCTGTTGGGAAGAATGGAAGAACTATATGGATCTCTTTTCCTAAATCACTAGATACTGGGATGGCTTTTCCTAACTTGTAACCAGGCAAGCAGTGTTCCCAGCATTAATTATGATAGCCGTAAGGATTGGATTCTCAGGATGCTGCACTTTCTGTATTTTCTCTGATGTTTCTCTTGACACACTGTTCAATCCTGAAAAAAGAAACCTTCCCTTTGTCCCACTACATTCATTAGATAACTCTTGCAAGTGTTCATGGCAATTTGTCAATTAACTGTTAAGCTGCTGCCTTTTTTTTTTCTTCCATCAGCATCAAAAGCACCTTCAACGAAGCCCAGCAGAGCTGAACAGACTAAAACATCCAGGTATCGGCTTTGGGTATCGCTTTCAGATGCACCAGTCAAAGAATTGGGATTTTAAATGCTTTTTCTCTGTATGAGTATGTTGATTTGCTCAGAAATGCCAGGTTTTGGGGGGTATAAAGTAGAGTCCTGATGGAGGGAATTGTTGTGAAATTATGGTGGGAGTAATTGTTTGTACATTAATATATTCAGGTTGAAAGCATGTTAAGGCAATCCGAGAGAGCATCTCCCTTATAGGATATGAATGTCATGTCTGTATCTAGTTAGAAGCCTGGAGTTTTGCAGGGCCACTCGGGAACTCTGTCCATTTCACCATTGTCTCTCTGACAGCATAGCAATTTGATATGACCCCAGTTAAAAGCATTAGAAAGAAAGAAAACATCGTACACACAGGGCACAAGCATACTTAGATCTGCAATGTGATATAAGAGTAAATCATACTAGTAGCAGACTGGAGGGCTGCCAGCTATTTGGAGTTAAAGCCAAGGAATGCCTCTATAACGAGGCAAACAGCTTAATTGTCTGGTATACTAGTGTACTGCACAATAGTATACTATTGCATACTATCACTGATGCTGTTGTAAATCCAATGAGGAGCACACATACAATCAGTGGATAAAAGTATCAAATAAGCTGAATAAGCTGTTCCAGTGGAAGGGCTTCAGTTTGGTGGTGATCTTCTGTCCTGGGCCCAGATGGATGGAGTGTTGTGTTCCTGACCTGGAGTGCTGCTGATCTATGCTCAAGACTTGTTTGTAACAAGTCCTCATTCATTCATGACTTAGTGATGGGCAAACAGGCATACCTGGTCAATAACTAAGATTGGCTAGGCCAGGGGTAGGCAACCTCAGCTCTTGGAATTCTGGGAGTTGAAGTCCATGAGTCATAAAAGAGCCGAGGTTGCCTACCCCTGGGCTAGGCAAAAGCAGCAATGCTATCCTACCTTAAATCTGCCTTGGTGGATTTTGGAGCCACGATTGGAAAGGAAAGGTGGTGTCAGTCTGTCTTGAGACCTTATACATAAACTGAGGTCACTATTCTTCACACAGTGGGGTATGAATGCTTATGATTTAGGTTGGATTGGTAGCTGGTATATCAGCCAACGTGCTGCCACCAAAATCCATTGCTATTTTGTGTTTGTTCTCCCCTGGCCCAGTTTATTTGAATACTGGAAGATGCCATCAGATGCAAGAGGTAGGTGAGTAGCTAGCAGAACTATATTTCAAGCTGTTAACCAAAATAAAAACATCTTGTCTGGTTCTTGATCTAATGGCTGAGATATTTGAAGGTGGTTGTTTTTGTTTTGTTTTGTTTTGTTTTTAAAAAAACTAGTCCTTTTCTCTTTACTGCAAGTTTTAAAAGCTGGTACTTTTCAGGATAAACTTGGCTCGTAGACTTTGAACTGGCAAAAGCTTCAAGAGCATTTGTACTGAGGCCATAGATTACTCAATTGTGCCTTCTATGTTTTCTAAGGGTTCTCTGCTGTGCATAATCGTTTGCTATCTGTTTCAGGACTTCATCCTCTTTAAACAGACCTGCTACCAATGATAAGAATGTGGGCAAACATAAGCCAACACCACCCCCTGCTGGTCAGGCCACATCAGCACATCAGCAGAAAAACACTCTGGCAACACAGAGAGGTACATAGCCTGTTGTCATAACACAAATGCCCCTCTACCTTACCAAAACCTGAATTTTGCAATGTCTAAAGGGGGAAGATCATATTTCACAGAAATATTAGATAATACGTATAAGCGGGAGTGATCAGGCTAAAGGCAGGTCATATAAATGTTTTTCAATATGTTTATAGTGACTTTAGATTTCAAAACATATTCAAGGATCATAACCCTCTCAGATCAATCAGAATTATCTACGTTGCAAATGGCATATCAGGGCTGCCAAGGGTAAGCACACCTAGTAAGTTCTTGGCAGGGTTCTTCCACCCCCTTAAGAATTAGAACTATGTTTCCATGTCATCATTTCCCCTAAGGCTTTCCAATGTTTTTTTTTATTTGGGCTTCCATAATTTTCAGTCATAGTGGCTTTTGCTGGCACATAGCAGTTTTTGTTGGCGTGGCTTCTGAAGAGATGGTGCTGAATTCTAATGGCCATAACAATTGGCTAGCAACACCACAATAATTGGACTATTTAGTATTCCACATCTGGAGGAGTTAGGGAAGTCACACTAAGCATTACATACTTTTAAAATTTTAGCTTATTGCAAAACAGACTTGAGGCCTGTCAAGTACAAGGAGCAAAACATCACGTCATCGGTAAGCCCATTGAGAAAGGGACAATGATCACTGAAGCAGGACAACTATATTATTTTTTATGAACGAATCAGTACTAAAATGGAAGGTCGTGTTCAATTGCCATATGAACCTTAAAGCGGAAGGGGCAGCTGTAGTGTAGTTAGAAATAGGCCTTAGGATGCTGGAGGGGTTTCAGGCGTTCTGCATAGATAACATGTTAGCTTTTCCAGTCCAAACAAAGATGTAAGATGTCTTTTCTTACTCCAGATGCCTCTAGAGCTGCCCCAGTTTTAAAGGCCAAGGTTTCACACTCCAACTCCTCTGTGAAGATGCCACCTGTCCTAAAGCATCCCAAACACTCGGCCTCCAAATTGCAATCTGAGCAAAATCTCGGAGAGAGGAATGTGACTGCACCTATGAACAGCAGATTTGCAGCAAAGAGATTTTCAGATCCCAGCAAGCCCCAAATTCCTGCCAAGGCAGCCGTTGGGACTCTCCATCCAAGAGTCATTGCTTCCCCTCCCAAATCTCTGCCTCCTTCAGGCAAGAAGCTTCTGAAGAAAGACACTCTTTCCAGTCGTGAGCAGGTGTCACCCCAAAAGAAGCTTCAAAAGACAATTGCCAAGGAAGGGAATTGCAAGAAAACCATCAAAGAAGCAGAAAGTGCTTCAATCAAGGGTACAAAGTTTCTAGAAAAGTTGGAATCTGCAGCAGAAGAAGAAACTGTTGACCAGCTACTCTCCCCGGAGACTGCAGGCTGTTGCATAACAGGAGTAGGGATGGAGCAGATGGAACCAGGAGTCTCAGAAGACGACAAAGAGGAACAGATAAACGCTAATGTTTCAGAGGGGCTGCCTTCAGCACTCCTTGAAGAATCTCTGGTCTGCCCTGGACCACAAGATACCAGTATATCATCTGTCAGTGAGATGCCTCGCTTGACCACTCTTGATGTCTTGGAGGTACGTTGTGGAAGTGGTGATGAAACACACAATTTGGAGCCAGCCCTCCCTTGTGAAACATCTCCTCCCATTCAGCTGGAGCTCTCTCACCAAACTTCTCCAGCGGAAACCTTATGGCACAAAGAAAGAGACATGGACTCCGAGCACCTCAGAAAGCAAACATCTCATTTTGATGCTTCAGCAGCTATTGAGCAGCCCCATTTCTTGCACAGCCCTGACAAGCCTTGTCTTGATGTACATCGTATTTCAACAACATCCCTTCCAGCTGGGGATTCCCAGATTTTAATAAGCGAATCTGTTCCTATGCTTGAGAGATCTCCTTCTTCCGAGTCCTTGACTTTAGAGTCTGAATTGCTTGAAGAGACTCAAACTATAAAACTATTAGTTCTGGCGGAGACACAGGAGGAGCCCAGTCTTTCAGCAGAGCAGGAGGAGCCCAGTCTGTCAGCTAGCCAGTTTGATCCCATCTTAAAAACTGTAACAGAGTCTCTAGCAGCAGGCCACGATGATAGCACTGAATTGGAAATGGTGAACAGGGTATTGAATTTGTGTCAGGACTCAGAGGAAGAACTGCAGAAGGAAGTGGTATCTCTAGAGGCAGGAAATGAAGGACTGAAGAGCCCCCTAGATCTTGCAACTAAAGATAGTGAGCTTACACAGAAAGTAGTCACTTCTCAGCAGATGGAGGATCTGCATTGTGCCAGTATACGTGCTGAAAATGAAGAGCTAATGGAAGTTCTGCAGGTAGCAGATCATTTAATAATGGGAGCAGCTACACAGTACCAAACACGTCTCCCTGTGTTTGTGGCTGCAACCTCAATTCCTACACAATTGCCTGGAGAGCCTTCTGCAGGCTATGATGATCAGTCTAGCAGCTTAGATGACTATCCCACCATTGGAGAACTTGAGGATGATGCAGTAATTCCAGAAGAATGCATGAGTAATGTGAAGCAAGAAGAGGCCACCCAATATGAAACTCCAGACTTATTGTTTCATCCTTCAGGGGAGCTCTCACCAAATAGCGGTGCCACTCAGCTGTCAATGCACAAACCTCAGAGCCTGCCCTTGAAGAGCTTGGAGTTGTTACAAGAATACCCAACTGAGTTGGCTGAAATGCCAGAGTTGCTGTTAAGTAGTACAGGGCTGAAAGCTCTCTCTCCAGAGAAGGGAGGCTCGTCTTCCAAATCCAGCACCTTAAGTGGGCCTGATCTGGCAGGTAAGAGCAGCAGTGAAACTAGCACACCTGAAGAGCTGCGGGAGTACGACAGTAGCTCTGGAGTTGAATCTAAGTCAGATGACAAACTGGAACAAACTTGTCATCAGCTCCTGAGTCCCTTGGAGGATCTCCCTGGTGAACTTGATCTGGGCATCCACATGGAAAAGGGAGACGATGAGGCAGAGACCCTGCCAGCAGATGAAGTCCTTGGAGATCCACCTACTGAGCCCACTGTATCCTCCGAGGAGGAAGCTGATCTGGATGCAGATCTTCTGAAGGAAGCGGGCTTTCCCAAAACGGTATGCCTCTTGACATCACCTCTCCCAACCAAGTCACATTTGCCCCATTCAGTAGAGGAGTCTGATGAACCAGGTTCTGGTGATGCTGGCACAGAAACCCCAGCCTCAACCAACTCTGCAGCTTCGTGTGATGTTTTTGGTGCCTTTCATCTCCATTCAGCTGACAGCTGTGGCAAAAGCCCCGGCCTCTCTTCCCTGGACAGCGAAGAACATTCCACTGAGGGCAGTAAGGAGACCTGCAGCAAGATTCCCGTGGATTGGGAGCAACAGTTGCACCTCACCCCAATGCCCTTGAAGACTGGAGGGCACGAAGAAGAATCGTCACAGCCTTTCCCTGCCGGTCATAGTCTGGCTGCAGGTAATGTATAGAAATCCTGCCCTATCTGTGTTGGATGGGCCAACCTGTGGTATGTTAATGTGCAATAGTATCCTGTAGGGAATGGAGATGGTTTCCTTCCTGCTTGTGTATCTGTTCCATCTGTGTCTCTAGCCAAACGGGCATTTTCTCGTTTTTGTGTGTCTTAAAATCTTTTCTCTCAACTTCTTAATAGACTTCTTTTGGGAAAGTTGTGTATATTTTAGTGCTTTTCTTAGTGGTGGTGGTGATGGTGGAAATAAACTTCTTAGCCTTTGGATATGTAAAATAAAGCATCACTTTGTCTATCTGATGTGGCCTGTATTGTTTTTCCAGGGAATCTGTCTTCTCCACCTACCTGTCCATACCACTTGCAGTTTTTAAATTGGAAAGAAGGGTGCCAAATAAATAATAGCATCTAGAATGCAAACAGAAATTATGGGGTTTGCTGTATATGAACTGGACAAACATGAGTGGCATATGGGAGAAGAAACCTTATTTTGAATATATGAACAAGCATCAGGAAAACTTGATCCATCAGAATAACCTGAGGTCCTCATCCTGCTCAGCAGCCATGTCTTCTTTAATTATCCTTTGGTAAAGCTGCCTTTTGCAATTTCTTCATGCCATTGGATTTTGCATCCTTTGGTGCATTGGGCTCTGAGAACATTTAGTAGAGAGCAGAGCAAGGTACTAAGCAGCACAATGCTTGGACTGTTAGATGTTTTATGGGGCTCACAATTAATTTGATCCAAGTTGTCCAGCAGTCCCAACCTGCCTTCCCTCTGGAATCATGCACATTTCTGTGTTTAGACAAATATCCTAGCATTGGGTGGATTCATTAACATGCTAAGGCAAAACCAAACACACCATACTGACGTTTTGAATAACACGGACTCGGCCATAAAACGCACATTTATTGTTTATAGCCCTAGAAATCAGGGCTACGTTTAATAGATTTTTGGTTGAATATTAAGAAAAAACTTTCCAACTTTTCTTATGCCAGGCATAAGAAATAAATCATTGAAGCCATCACGTTTCCATCACAGGAAGGCTAAATAGCGATTGGTTAAGAATATCATGCTTTCCTGGAATGAGCAAAGGATTGGTTAGCTTGCTAATTAACCAAGGCAGATTTCCTTTAATGAAATCTTGAAATGTAATAAATGATCAGAAATATTCTGCAGGAGATAGATTGCGTTTAGATCTTTTCAGGCCATAGGTGTACTGGACTAGGAGGAAGGCCATTGAGGAAAACTCACGTTGCAATTTCCTGTCTTAGCATGTTATATGCTGAAAGATTCCTGGATTCAAAAATGATTCAGCTTTGATAGCTGCTTTAGTATTTATAATTAGATAAATAATTTCGGTTTACCAATTGGTTTACTAATAGGAGCTGAGAAACAAGTTAAATCCTCAAGTTCATTATTGAACTAAATCCTGCTTCACTATTGCTGATTGATTGAAACTGAAACCAAGCAGTCTATAGATAAATTAGGAACAGATCCTGATAAAATGAAGTTTTAATCAGTCCTAAGAACTCTGGCATCTCTTTCTCTGATTCTGAGAAAATTTGAGGTGATTGAGGTGAACAGTTCCTGGGAGGGAAGCTGTTCAGAAAGTAAAGGGTTGCTGATTTCATATATATAGGTCCTCCAAAAAGTTAGCCCTAGCCGTTCTCATTCATAGCCAGTGGAGCCAACTAGCAGTAAACAAGCATGCAAAAACTGTCTAGTATTGAGACATTGTATTGAGACATGCCCAATACAATCTCTGAATCCATTTTTAAAATGAATTAGTTGGGAACACAACATTGATCAGCCAAGCACTGGCACTATAACTGCAATGGAGTGTATTTCTTGCAAATCTGAGAAGCATCTCCTTTTTTTCTTCAAAACCTAGCCTCTTTCCACTTTCCCTTTTCTTTTTTGTTCTTGTCTGTCAATTCCTTTCTGTCTGTTGTGACCACTACCCATCCTGAGGGCCATCCTTTCCAACCCAAGCTCCTTGCCCTATTTGTAGGTGACAATGGGGCTGGCTTGCCCTTCCCCTGGGAACCATGTCCATCAGAGATCCTCTCCACTATCTATGAAGTAGAAAGTGGTGCTGAAACACCTGGCCCAGACGAAGAGGACGGGAGCCGTTGCTTGCGTGCCGCCTCCCGAGAACAGGCTCTCCAGCTAGGAAACATCCAGGCTACAGTCGTACAGCAGCTAATCAGCCGAGCCCTGCTCTTCCCAACAGAAGCACCTCCTGGGGCTGTCAGTGGGAAGGGGGCCATGAACAGCGAAGCAGAGATTGGCAAATGGACGGAACTGATCTCCCCTTTGGAAGAATCTCGAGCCAGCATCACTTCTGTGACCAGCTTCTCCCCAGAGGACATGTCATCCCCACATGGGGACTGGACTGTGGTAGAGGTAGAGTCGTTCCACTGATTATTCTCCCCCCCCCAGTTATAAATATATAGAAGGCATTTTTTGGAGGTGAACCACTACTTTTCATACAAGTGTATCTATTAATGTCCAGGAAGGGTCAAGTGTTAGCTGACTGGAGCTACTGCTCTCCCCTTCATTTTCAGCAGCTAATGGTATGGATAGTTAAGCACTTGTGAATCATGATTACATTTATCCCATGCAGTCTTAGCCCTTGAGTTTTTGGTTCAGCAGACTAGACTGGTCAGCCTTTCATGTTTGGGATTACCAGGCATAATGTTTATTTCCAGAGGGTAAGGTCCAGCTTTACTTAGTGGTAACATGTGATTGTGCCAATTATTGATATCACTATCCGTCAACATGATAAAAATAAAGCTTCCTCTCCCACGTATTTTGATAAACCTACAGTGTTCTTCATTAATGAAGGCTATCAGTAACAGAAGATGCTAGTGGCCTTGATTACTGATACCTCCTTATGGAAAGCCATCCACATTTGGTTGTCAGGCTGCCAATATTTGATATTTTTTTTTGTCAACTTTCAAAAGCAAATTTCCTGGCAAAGGTGTTTTACTCTGAGAGTTTTTTTTTAAGGAAGTAGCACCTCAAAGATTGTGCCCACACAATACTATTAGGATGAGACCTAACAGATAAATTTATATGTTATCCAGCAGCCTGGATTTGCACAGTATGTTTGGTACAAGGACATCAATTAATTCAAAAAGTAGCTTAAATGGGTTGTGTGAATGTAGCCAATATGGAAGAGAAATTTACAAATGAGGACATCTTAGTGTTTTTGAATGATTGATGTATCTGCTATTTAGGATGTGGTTACTCTACTTCTCTTGCCTACTTCTATGAAGTGGACCTCTCAGCAATAACTTCTGGAGGAGACCTTGGACTCAAAGAGAGATGTATTTTAGCATCCTAAACAAGACTAGGTAAGAAAAGACTGCTAAAAAAAATCAGTTTGGGAATTTTCTTCAAAGGTACAGTTTTCAGACCACTTGAACTTCTATCTAAAATGGAAAAGTTTAGAAAATGCAGGGACCAAGTTTTGGTGCAACTGGTTCTTATACTTGTGCTAGCCCAAACTCCTTGCTGATGCAGCAGTAGATAATTCCATTTTTTTTTTCTTTGTGCCAGTGGTTATGCCTAGACAAATAGCACGTGTGTCATTGTGAGGGGCTTTCCTGACTTGATTGTAGGCCAATGCAGCGGTGGGGTGAGGAACATCCGGAACAACCCTTAAGTTGTGAATTACAATTCCAAGCAGCCTCTGAGAATTTTTATAACTGTTCAATGTTAGACATTTTTCACTAGCATTCTAGAGACGCATAGATTGGCAGTGCAACCATGATAGTTTTGCTCTGGCATTTGTTAGTAAGAGTGGTATGAAACTATACCGCAGCTATGAGATGGTGTCCAGTAATGGATAAACCCGATTCCATCGTACAATAGCAATTGTTTAATGGTTTCTTTTAGCTGTGCCATATTTTTTTTTGTTGTTACCACATTTGAGAGTCTACATTAAACTGCATAAATTCAGAGCAAAGATGACTATCTAAAAATTAGGCTGCCTTTCTAACCTACTACCAGAAAAACAATGTGAAAAAGCTTTTTCTAATTGCCATATTTAAGAGGTACTATACTCGTGAAGCCAACCTTCTATTGCAATACTCCTTCTCTCCTGAAAAAAAGAAATGAAGCTTGTTTCTATAATGTGAAATGTGTTTTAAAAAACGTTCATCTCATTAACTCTGCCATCTTCCTATATCTGCCTTCCCAGATCACTTGTAGTTCCACTAGTTAACGCAAATGTGGAGCCTTATTGTCTGTAATGAAGTATTGATGTGTGCAACTTTTTTTGTAATGTAGCAAAGTGTGATATAGTATTTTTAAAAAATAAAAATAAATTTGAGGTTATTCTGTTGTGCGTCTTTGAAAATTGTTTGGTTTTTAATAGTCGGAATGCAGTGCAAAATTGGTTACACTTTTAAGGGCTCAGGGCCTCTTGAGACTACCTAAAGCAAGGTAGTTAATTACTTGGCTAATTCTTGAGAAGCCATTCTGCAGACTAAAGTTCTGCTGTTGGACCAGAGTCTTGTTAAAATATACAGGGGCTACTTTTCTTTAGAAAACAAATGGCTAAGCTGCGATGGATGTAACTGTTTTAAATTCATAAAAATTCTAGATAGGGTTGAAGAAGTTAATCTTGAATTTCCAATGCTAGGTACTCATGATTGCATAGACTTATGGAATTAGTCTTCTTCCAGGGTGGAGATCTCTCTCTAGCCTTCTTCACTTAAGCTGCTGTACAACTGTAACAATGTCACTTGCTGAGCGAAAGTAGCTGAGATAGTTCTAATTCTTTAACTGGGATTAGTCCATGAACAAGAGTGTAAGGGCAAGTTTAAAAGATACTAAACACACTAAACTTGATACAGCATCTCCACCTCAGCCTGCTGATAAGATGATGAGCATCTTGAACTGCAGGAGGATTGGGCAGTATAGGTGGCCCTTGACTTCAGATCTTTTGAAGGTACAATGGACTCCACCCAAAGATATTTACCACCCAGTTCTGAAGTTTCAATGTCCTACCACATGACCACATTTTGGGCACTTGGCAACTGACCCATCTTTGCAGCTGTTTGCCCCCAAAAGTTTTATTTCTGATTTATGGCAAAAATGCCCCATTGGTGAACAATAGGTTTGCTTAACCCCCACAAAAAACGGTTGGGTTGGTGACAGGGGCAAACTGCTTTACAACGATCACAACTTTTGACTCTAATGGGCAGACTTCCATTTATAGACTATTTATACTGAAATGTTCTGATCTTTGCTATCCACTTTCCTGCACTAAACTATATTGTAGTAAACCTTTGCTGTCTGGGACCTAGAATAGTTTTCAGCCTCCTGTATATGTAAATCGAACAATAGGGGATATTCACATATAGCTTGCAAAACGTAAGTATTTTTGCATGTTCTACTTCTAATTTTGTGCTTTATTTCCAAAATGTATTTTTTAAAGCAGGGGTCCCCAACCCCTGGTCCGTGGACCAGTACCAGGCTGCAGCATGCCAGCATCCGGGCTGCACAAACAAGCAAAGCCCCATCCATGGGATGAAGGCAGCACACAAAACCACACCCCCTCTGGTCCGCGGAAAAACCTGTGTCCACAGAATCAGTCGCTGGTGCCCAAAAGGTTGGGGACCTCTGCTTTAAAGCATGTAATATGCTATGCATGCTTACATAGCCTTTTAATCAATAAGTATTGTCAGGGAAAAGCTCTCTATAGCACAGTGTTTCTCAACCTTGACCATTTTAAGGCATGTGGACTTCAACTCCCAGCTGTGGAATTCTGGGAGTTGAAGTCCACATGCCTTAAAATGGTCAAGGTTGAGAAACGCTGCTATAGCAAAATAGGAAATTGTATCATGTTTCCCTATTCCTTGCCTTTTTTCTCACTAAAATCAAGATTGAGCACTATTAATTCTGAGCTGAGATACCCAGAAAGTTTGGTTCAGGAAGACTACATCTATCTTTAGTCCATGAATTATAAGTCAGGTTCTATTAAGGAAGATTGTTGCTATATTTGGCTGCTTATGAATCCTCATAAACCAAAAAGTTTATTTCACTCCAAGGGGGTCATATTACCCAAGGTACTGTCCAGACACTAGAAGGCAATTTCACAAGATGGCTACAAACACAACCCTACACCTGAAGCTTCCTTTGGAAGCTTGACAGGCATATGACATAAGTTGAAAGCTGAGAAATGAATTATATGTTTGAAGTGGAGTTTACCTTTTGAGGCACAGCAAAGGTATTTATTGGAAATCTTTGCAAGAGATGGCATCAACCCTATTATTGTCCATGCTGAAAAATAGAGTAATGAAAAGGAACATAATAGAGTTCTGCTGGAATATATCATAGATATGCCCACATCAGCATCCTATTTTTGCAGGCAAGTGCTCCAAGACAATCTCCCACCTCACCCACAACATCCAGTAATGACAAATCTTCTTCTTAGTTGGGAATTCCTTTAAATTATTGGGCGAACAACAAGGGAGAATTCTAGTCTCTCTAAAGGTGGTGCATTTTAGGAAAGAAAATTCCACCAATTCATTGTACCTTGTGGTAAGATAGTTTTGAACAGTACTGATTGTCCCTCATTACAATTAGATGCCCCTGAGTAATTTGGGAGGGAAATGTCCATTTTTTCTATCTCACATAGAATTAACTATTTTTGTCCTTCTCCAGTTCAATAAAAAGTTGCAATGCTTTCACCTTTCCAACAGAAAAAAAGGATAACTCTTTTATCAAGTTGGCTACTTAACTCTTTTTGTAACAAGGTATAGCATGGTGCAGGGACATCTCATAAAACCCCCAAGTCAGTTAATATATGTCCAAAATAAATAAAAAGTAAATACACCATTATATTAATTGGAATAACTTCTGCCAGTTCTGTATTTATACACAATGCGCACCAGCATCAGAAATTTAGATAAAAGATGGGGTTTTTTTTAGGTGGAACCAAAGTTGGACACTTAACAGGAACACCCAGATGAACTGGAGATAAAAACTACTTAAGACCAGATCCATGTCTGTCTACGTGGGAATAAATTCTACTAAACCTGAGATTATCTGGGGGGGGGGGAGAGGGGGAAAATGCAACAAATGATAGATGGTCCTGAAATCAGCCAATTCCAGCACATGGAATATCTTATTCAGAAATTAATCTTAAACACAGATGCAGTTTGCTAGATTCATGTTCCTAAAGAGCCACCATCCACTTTTGTGTAGGAATGTGAGCTTGGATGGCATTGTGGCTTCATTATGAGTAGTCACATTCAACCATGATAGCCAGGATTCACATATCAAAGATGACAACCATCCAACCACCACTTCCCAAATACCTCTTTTAGCATTACCCTGAAATTAAAATAGTTTGGATGCAATTGTGCTGACCTGAGACTTATGAAGGTTGCATTCTTCATAAGTTTTTGAGCAGATAAAATCCAAAACATTTAAAATTGTCTACTAGTGATTACTGTCTTCAAAGGTGCTATAATGGAAATTTGCATACATCATAAAGTAGTTTCCCTGTGAAAAAAGTCAGTGAAATGAGTGAGAAAAATCAACATGTGCCCAACTCACAATTCATTGAACTTATCATTTCACATTTTTCAAGATTTTTTACATTATGATCTGGGCACATGATGAAACTATGAAGTCATTTATCATCTATATATATATATATACACATATATGTATATGTATACATATATATGTTTATGTGTATATATATGCACACATACATATTTTAAAAAGTGAACTGTTATCAATATATGATGATCGTATTTACATAGTCTTAAGTCTGAGAAAAATTCATGAATGTATCAACACAAAGCTTTTTGCTCTTTCATTGCAAAGTTATGCCTTAAGCTGCTCCTTAAACGTTTAAGATACCCCAGTACAATACTCATTCCAATTTGGCCTCACTGAGCTTTCAGATCACTATAGTGAGTCAGCTGTATATATATTTTTTTTAATTTACCTTTTGCAGATTCTTTCATTGTGCCTGGAATGAGTTAAGAGTGAACCAAGAGCTCCGTATCTATTACCAAAAGGAGTGAGCAGGATCAAAAGCCACTCCAGCTCCTGCTGGATCGGCCACTGTTTCCTACACTGTATTGTGTATTACTTCTTGCACAGCAAGTTTGATAGACAAAATACAAGGGGTTAAGACTTGTTAGAACTTAAAAAATTTGGTTTTTTATTCCCAGCTCTGGACAAAAAAATAGGGCCTAGTGCAATAGAGAGCAATGTGTAGCCAGTATGTAAGCCCCTGAGGCACTTCTGTGCTAAAACATCAAGAACCTCTGTTATCAAAGTTCAAAGTATAAGTTTCTAGCCCTCGTGGGTCGAAGGGAAATGTTGAGAACATAAAATTCAGTGTGCTCATATCTGCATTCTTCCTGGTAGTGAAATTGAAGTTTCCTTCTCTCTTTGCAATTATGTAGTTTTCTGTTCCTAATGCACAACTAAACAGAGTAGATATAAATTTTTCTCACTTTCAGTAAGATCCCCTTTACATTTCTAATTTACACCATTTGAAGTGATCTGTCGTGATTCTCCAATGAGTTTTGGAAATGTTGTTCTGTATACAATCTAAGATCCTATTCTAAAGAGTTGTCTGCATCCTCTATGAAGTTCCCATTGTTTTTAATGCAAAACTGAAACTGACTTTCAATTGTGAAACAGATGTTTCCTGGCCAACATTAAGTACAATATGTCTTCAAAACCATTGAGAATCTGAAATGTTGTATAATGTGCCCACCGGAATACCTCCATCACCTGATTTTTACAAGTTTACCAAGGATAATTTCTTAATATTGGCATTGCAATCTTTTAGGATTTATCCTGCTTAAACAGGAAGAGGCCAGTCCTAAGGATAGGAAAGCCATCCCCTGGGTGTTTGATAGAGAAAAAAAATGGTTCTGGCCAATTTCATTCCCTATCCTTTTCTATGTCCCCAAAGCATTAATATTGGTGGTATGGTCTACTTATATAGTCCTTATGTAAGAAAACTCACTGCTAATGAAAATACATACATACACACGCAAGCACACAGTTATAACTCTCTGCCCACTGGAAAGAGCCCATCTATAAATCCTACATTTATTTTAGACTTTTTGGTGATTATGTAAAGGTTACCGCGCTTTCATCCCACGGATTACAATACTGAAAATTAAGGTGGAACCCTTCAAGTCTATTCCCATCTATGGACTAGACAGAAGATAATCTACCCCCACTTGCTTTCTTTTTTCTTCCAAAACTTGATTACCAGGTGACACTTCTCCATAGAGCAGAACCCAAAATCTGGAGCCCTCTTGCACATTTTTGCCCTTTAAACATACAGTCATTTCAGCTGGTTCCATTACCCTTTGCAGAGGGCTAAGGTATCTGGGAATACTAAATCGTTTTTTCAGTTTAAATATTTATATTTTTAAAAAATGGGGAAGAAAAAAAAATAATAAAAAGCAATTGACTCTGGGCAACAACCATGAAAATTGGAAGAAAAGGCTACCTGAACAGAAAAGAGAATAAAAAGCTATTTGATTAAAACCTCCTGGCACCTCCAGCAAGCTTTTTTTCTTGCCTATCATCGAAAGAAGGGGCAATCAGGGCTATCCAATGCTACTGTTGGAGAGAGGGAAGGGAGAAGCCATTTGGGTGCTGCTGAAGCATAAATCATTTCAGCTCAGGTGAAGATTGGGAAAAGGAGGAAAACCACATTGCCTCATCTTTCTCTCCCCCCCCCCCAACAGACAATGCACTATGGTGAGTGAAAAGCTTGGGGTCGGGTCAGACAGGCAAGATGAGAGAAGAAAGCGAGCTTTTAGCCCTCTGAACCCAGTCTTTTGGATCACCAGATAACCGGGATAAGGAAGCCACGAAAGCTGGGTCATTTCTGCCTCCCTCCTCTCACCAGGTATGGTCCAAGCCCTTGCCCTTCCCAACGTTGTCTTGTTTTCACAGAGGCAAAGGAAGGCTGAAATGGCTGAGACAGTAGCGTTGACAGAGTCCCTGTTCTCTCCCTCCCCCTCACTAGCGTGGCCCCGTTCTCCTCAGCCCATGAAGGAGTCGCCCTCGTCTTCTTCAAAGTGGCACTGCTGGAGGACCTTGATGTGATACTCGTAGATCTTGAGGGCCGGTCCCAGGCGAATAGAGAGGCCAGTAAGCACATCAGTGCGCTGCATCAGCAGCAGAGATTTCCCATCAATCTCCTAGGGAGGGGGAGGGATACACAAAAACAGAACATCATGAGATTAGTGCACAGCAGCATGCCAAGAAGAGGTTTCTTCCTTTCTATAAGGCAGGAAAAGAGTTCCAAGTATGGTTGATTAAAGCAACATTGAGGCATATATCCATGCATGCATACATACACACGTGCACTGCTCATATGCCTATCTCTCACCAGTCTGTGAGCCGAGAAGAGCCATTACAGAATCCCCACCGCCTAATTGGGAAGGGGCTTTTTAAGACATCTAGTCCATTACTTTGCTTAGCACAGGAAATCTACTAAACTTGCAGTGTTTCTCAACCTTGACAATTTTAAGGCGTGTGGACTTCAACTCCCAGAATTCCACAGCCAGCATTGCTGGCTGTGGAATTCTGGGAGTTGAAGTCCACACACCTTAAAATTGTCAAGGTTGAGAAACACTGTACTAAAGAAAATGTGTTCTAGAAATAGATATGGCTGCAGTTACTCTCTCAATATATAGGTATTTTTTATTAGATTTTTATATCCTTCTTTAGTGACCATCCGTGGGACAAGTACCTCTTTCGTTAAATAAAGCAAAACTATGACTCTGCTTATGATCTTATTTCAAGTTTCCTTTGCTTTACAGACCTGCTAAGATTGTCAATGCAATCTTAATTAATGGTACTTTTATCTCTGTCATTAACTACAAACGGTTGCTAGATGAAAACTTTACCTGTATTTACCTTTTATTCACTTGCTAATTTCAAACGTATTTATAATAAAACCAAAAACAACCAACCCAACTGAACTGGCTTGGCCACAACCCACCATTAGATAAAGTAAGGCAGGTAAGTGGGGCCCAATACACTTCCTAGCTGCTTGTCAGTGCTTCCCATTCTATTATAATAATAATAATAGTAAAGTTGAAAGGGACCTTGGAGGTCATCTAGTCCAACCCCCTGCTCGGGCAGGAAACCCTACACCATTTCGGACAAATGGCTGTCCAGTCTCTTCTTAAAAACTTCCAGTGTTGGAGCATTTACTGCTTCTGGAGGCAAGCTGTTCCACTGATTAATTGTTCTCACTGTCAGGAAGTTTCTCCTTAGTTCTAGGTTGCTTCTCTCCTTGATTAGTTTCCACCCGTTGCTTCTTGTCCTGCCTTCAGGTGCTTTGGAAAATAGCTTAATTCCCTCTTCTTTATGGCAGCCCCTGAGGTATTGGAATACTGCTATCATGTCCCCCCCTTGTCCTTCTCTTCGTATTCCTACCCTCTTAAAGTAACCAGGCACCCCAGGTGTGCTGGCAGAGTTTACCAGTGTGGAAGTAAAATTCAATAATCAGTTCTACTGGGCTTGTCAAAATGGAATTCAAATGTGCACCTATGATTCCTAGGCATCAAAATGGTTTAATTGCCCAGTACCTAAAGGCGAGACGGAAATAAGATCTCAAAGATCTAAGCTTTCAGAAAGCACAAAGCTTTTTACAAGCCTTTATTGCAAACTGAAATTTGTGTTTTTGAAGAAGCCAACAAAAGGCTATCTAACAAAGAGCATAGATCATAGTAAAGAATTAGGGAGCATAATTGTGGATGGTCATCAGGAGGTGCAAAATCTCTCTGAATCTCTCTCTCTGAAAACATGTTTTAGTGAGAGCTACCCAAAACTTGTCACAGCCTGAGCTCAAGAAAACCAGTCATGAAAAGGAGGACCACAAATGACAACGGGGCCTCCATCCAGGGAGTGGCCGCTTTCTCATCCCACTTTTACCGAATTTCAAAAGGATTAAAAAAAAAAAAGACATAAAAGACATATATGGTTACTGAGATAAACCAGTGATTTACTTTTAAGCAGGTTATTCTCTTGAAATACTGAGAGACTGGATGGCATTGAGAATCACAAGGGTAGGGAACAGGCAGAAGCACTACATCAGTGGTTCTCAACCTGTGGGTCGGGACCCCATTTGGGGTCAAACGACCATTTCACGGGGGTCGCCAAACAACGCAGTCCGCCATTTTCCCCCCCTTTTCCTTAGCTGTGCTACTCCCTTTTATTCTATTGGCTTTTGAAAGCCAATAGAATAGACTCTCTTGAATAGAGTCTAATTCTATTGGCTTTCAAAAGCCAATAGGAATTGTCCAGGCTGTCTCTGCCCTGCTGAGCCGCCAAAAGTCCCATTCTGCAAATGGTGCTGCATCAGTAGAGTAGTCCTCGACTTACAACCGGTTGAGTAGTCCTTGACTTATGACCGGTTGGGGGTCGTGGCATTGAAAAGGTTGAGAACCACCGCACTACATGAAAGAAAGCCATAGAACAACTAAAGTCTGGATGTACCTTTACCCAGATTTTTAAAGCAATTTTCCCAGTCAAATGGGACCTAAACTCTGGAAAGAGTTCCAGCATATTCTCCATCACAATGAGAGGCCAAGACTTTCATAAGACTTTAGCTGAAGTGTAATCCCCCAATCCCTCTTCTTGGGGTTCTCACCTGCTCCTGAAAGGCCGAAGCTTGCTCAGCAAACCCAGCTTCTGTGAAATAATCCACAACGTCACCGACAGTCCATTCCACAGGGTCAGAAGGCTTCTCTTTCACCGAACTGGAGGAGGGGAGAGAAAGTGACATTGAGATCAGAGGCCTTGCACGGCTTTTTCTCCACCATCAGGAGAAGCCTGGGATTCCTCATCAGCACCGGATCAGGGATACTGTTCACATGTGCATGTACACTCAGACTGCACCGAAGGAATTCATCACAAGTGAATTGTACAGCATCTTTCTGTGGCAGTTTAAATCTGCCTTAAAGCATCCACTGCAGACATAGAAAAATGCACCAATTTAATACACACGCTTTATTTTATTTTTCAATCACACTATCAGGAGAGATTATAATTTAAAGTAAACATTAAGAAAATAGAATACCTCACATCAGAAAATTGTAAGAGTATCACAAAACTGACAACTAAATGTAATGGCCTTAAAAACATTGGGAATATAAAACAAAAATATTGGCCTGAAGCTGAAAGCAGCTGTTAAGGCAAATCTCTCTTGGGTCCATGTTCCACAACTGGGAATGACTGAAGATACCCTCTTTGCTCGCAACTTTTCATCTTACATTAGTGCTGCCTAAAGGAGGCAACATGAAGTTAAGTATATGTGAGACAGAGTGGCCAAATATTCTAGTCCTTAGCTCTAATGATATCTGAAAGGCAATGTATAAAGTAGTTGGCACAGTACAAGTGCATTACAACTGTTAACATCCAGCCATGCTTGGTAAGTTTGCAGCTGGACTTTGCATCAAATGCCACTTCTGAACAGCAAGCAAAGACAGTCCAGTATAGAGGGTCAACAAAACAGACTGACCAGGGCACAGAGAACTGAAGTCAGGCTAGTCATTGCTTCCAAAACCGGAAGCAATCACCATATCAAGAGTTCTAGCATGGCGTGACACTTTAAAGATAACAAACAAAACAACCCCAGTGTGGATATTTCAACCCCACAGCTCCTGTTTTGCAATCTAAAAGGAAGAGAAGTCTCACTTCCTCTAGCAACATCATGTAGCCAAAGAGTCTATATAGCCTTTCTCCTCTTCAGCCCATCTTCTTCTCATACAACGGTTTCCCTTCCGAAATCAGGGCATATCAGACCCTTGCTGCCGTTACCATTAGAACCAGCCAATGTGTGGTGGCAGTGACCATTATAAAAGTAATGAGCAAGTGAGATATGACCAAGGTGTCCAAGATCCCAAAGATATTTTCAACCTACATTAATTACTGAAAACTCTGCTGTTTTTCTAGAGAAGTGATAGCAGCAGAAGACAGGTTCAAATATATCCACTTTTTCTTTACAATAGTTAAACCAGGCATAACTGAAGAACAGGTTGTGATATCTGCACAAAACTTACACACAACTGAATGGTCTCCCATCTGCCTGGATGCCAGGTCTCCCAGGAGATGAGGGCACAGAGGGATCAGCCCCTGCAACAGCTGGTGACACTGGAGAAAAAGCAGAGAAACAAACAGGGGTAGATCTTGTTCTGTATCAGTATAACTGGAATTGGGACCAAACCGTGTTTGGGGTCCTTTAAAAACAATGAAAAATGTTATTATGAAAAGAACATTTTAATTTCCAAGATAGCCAATGCCACCAACCATATTCTTCCCTTTCACTTGCCCCAACTAATTCCAACCTACTCTAGAATGCCAATTAAGAATTCTTAAAACTGAATTAAAGGATAGCGTCCATATTTATTGCAGATCTGCACATATACACTGACACACAATGCAAGCATGCAATACATTGAATTATCATTCAACCCATGTCAGAATTATTAGTGTTTAAGTGACCCCCAATCTCAGATCTTTTGCCTTACTGCCTATTAGGTTTCCCAGAAAAGTCAAGTTTAGCCAGCTACTTCCCCATCTTCTGCTACTTCTTCCTGCCTAACCCATACCTGCTCTGTCTGGCTGCTGATAGGCGCTGCCATCTTTCTTGCTGCCTCCCAGATGGTGACAGGCACTTTCTCCAGGCCAAGAGGCCTTTGTGTGACATTGCTCATTCCCTTCATGCTGAGAATGCTCCAATCCTTTGTTCAAAGATGTTTCCTCTAGGGAGTGCAGGTCTCTGGGGGTGACACTGCTGGGTGCGATCTCTTTCCCACCGTGCTTGCTGTCCTTACAGTCACCATTCACCTGGCCTGTCCCAGGTCTGCTGTAGTTGCTGATCTCAAAATCTTGTGCCACTTCTGAGCCTTCAGACATAGTGGAGACTTCATCCTCTTCTTCCTCTTCGTCCTCGTCTTCTTCACCTTTGATCTCCTCCCCTGCCTTCTATTAATATCACAGAGAATAAAGAAGAACAGCACACACATTTTAATTTGGCATTCTTCTGACATATTGGGATTTCACCCATCATGAAGGCAAGTACAGTCATCACCTGGAAACAAGCACAACTACTTTTGAGACATATCACTGCAGTGTTAATTACTTTGGCTAAGACATCTCATATCTCAAACCCAAGCTGTTTGTTTCTGAGCCATTTTGTTTCACTTTCCCTCACTTGTATACACCCAGATATTTCTGAGGGCAGTCGATGCAATCAAACTAAGTGGTGCTGGGCTGGGAAACTTCTTAAACACTGCTCTAGCAATGTGATTAAAAGCTCCTTGAAGCAGGAACAGGAAACTTTTTATCCAGGGAGCATTTCATGCTAGTAAATCACTGCCACCTCTATCTTCCACCTGCAGCTTTTATGAAAATCTGTGATCATTCTCATCAATTAAAGATTGCAAAAATAATAATAGAAGAAAAAAGGGGGGCCGGATTTCCCTCCCCCCCCATTGCTAATCCTTCCTTGCTGCTAACTGAATTGGATAACAGCTAACAAGACTGCTAACTGAATTGGGTAACATTTCTGAAGTGATTACTTCCTGACCCACATTGCATGATATTTTCCTCCCCACCTCCAGCTTACCCATATTTGCATTCATTCAATACTGCTCCCACAACCTCTAGACTTTATTGGAGGTTACCAAATTCTTTAGGTCAAGCACAAGCTGACTCTTTGTTCTGTGTTTAGATGGAGCCTGGTACGACTGGAGTTGGGCTAGAAGGGGGCGCTGTTCTGGGCCCAATGTACACCAATGGCAGCAAACTAACCTTATGGAAGGACCACACACAGGTGAGCTAAGAAAGAACCCCCTCATATGTCGGAAGACTGTCGTCCGCCAGCCCCCCCTTCTCACCCCCACCCCCCCGAGAGTCGACCTTGAAGTTCTCGGAGCGCCAAAAGCCAGCCAGCGTCTGTCTCCTAACCTTGCCAAAATACTTCGCCAGTGTACGAGGGAATACTGCCCCGTTTAAAACCACGCACCAATCCTAGCGCCCCCTCCAGTGCGACATGATTTGATTGGGTGCTGCCCTCAACTCTTCCTCCCAGACACACGCACACCTGCACGAGAGCCCACTGACAACATCTGGGGGTTGGGCGCCGTCCGCCCGCCCCCAAACTGGCTGCTTTCTGGCGCCCACTGGCGCCCCTCCCCCCCAGCATTCGGGCACCCCCCCTGCGCGCGCACTCTAATCGGTCCGTTTCCTTCCTGGAGAGCCTCACCTGTTCTCAGCCGGTGCGTCCCCTTCGCCCCACGCCAGACACAGCCATCGCCACCCGCTGTTGCCAACCCATCCCCCAGAGCGCGCCCCGGCGTCTCCTCACCTTGTTCCTGTATGGTCTGGCGTTGGGGGCCCGGGCCTGCGCGCCTCTCTCCGCCCTGGGCAAAGCGACGCTGTTGCTGCTGCCGCCGCCACCGCCGCCGCCGCCGCCACCCAAGCGGGTTCTTTCCAGCCTCTCCTCTTGAAGCAGCCCCTGTGCTCGGCCTCGAGTCACTCGGCCGCCCCCCGGCGCGGCGCCGTCCCCGCCCAAGTAGCGCACAATCTCTCGCAGACTAACGGGGGAGGATTCCTCTTGGGCTGCGGGCGGCGGCGGTCGCTCCCGTCCGGTCCGACGAGGCGGAGGCGGCGGCGGCGGTGGCGGCGGCGGCGCGACTGGCTCTGCGCGAGGCGCAGCACGCTGGGAGGACCGGGGCGTCGCGGTGGCGGCGGGAGCGCTGGGCGGGGAAGTGCGGGCCGGGCGCTGCGGGGCCGCCGGACTGGCGGCGGGCGCTCCACCTCGCCGGGGAGGCTGGACCCGCGCAGCGTTGCGGTACGAGATGCTTCCCTTGTAGCTGACTCGGAGCACGGCGCGTTGCTGGATGAGCTTTTCCAGCTCGGCGCGGGTGCGCTCCGGCTCCGGGCCGTGCCGCCGGCGCACCATGCGGCAGATGCGCTCCAGGTCCGGGCGCGCCTTGCGAGAGCGCAGCGAGTCGATGGTGTCTAAGATCCACTCTTGGTAGCGGGGCGCCTCCTGGCCCGGGGGCGGCGGCGGGGGGCCGGCCATAGTGTTGCCGCCTCCCCCGGGGCTTTGCTGCCCCCGTGCGCCGCTCCGCCTTGGCCTCAGCCCTTGTCCGCGCGGCGCGAACTGGACCCTCCACCCGGCAGGCGCTGCTGCTTGCTGGAAGCGGCGGCGCGCGGGCTGGTCCGGGCAGCGCGAGCTCCTCCCTCCCCTTCCCCCAGCCGCACGCGCCGCCGCCTCCAACACCGCCCGAGCGGGACCCGCAGCCGCTTAAGGAGGCGCTGTTGCCTCCCGTAGTCTCCCTACACTTGGCGACTTAAGGTGGAGCAGGAGAATTCTCGGGCTTCCTTAGCGGCCGCTCGGAGGGAAAAGACGCTCTCAGGCCGCCTCCGTCAAAAGTCAGCCCCAATCCTACGAGAGAGGTCCAAGTCTGTTCTATTTATAGCCGCGGGAGTTTGCACCGTGGGCAAGTAGAAGGGAAGTTTTCCTCCTAGCCGTTTTTCTGCAGTGCTTTGCTTTCTCGTCCCACGCCCTTCTTCATTAGTCCAAATAACAAATCTATCCCCCGCCTCCTCCACAACGAACCGATTCGGCAGCCCTGATGTCGTCTTACTGTCATAGTTACTTCCTATTCCACGGAAGTTTCTGTTCTGTGATGCCCAAACGAGTCAACCGCTGGATGTAATGAGATTCAGTTTGGAGTAAATACTGTAGACAAAGAATGGACTTACAGGTCTGAACAGTTGACGAGGGGAACTGGCTGTCTTTTACAGGAAGATCTGCTGCCTTAAGTTTGCATTTTTTTCCCCCTGGTGAACGTGGCCTTCATTTTCTAGATCTGAAGCATATTTTCTATCTTGCATTTTGATTACTTTTGCTTAGGACTAAGGCCTAGATGCCTGGTATGAAGAGGAATGAAATAAAAGCAGCAATTTGTTTCTGATTACAAATGACCACAAAAAAAGGTTTCTGTAAAAATATGGATTTTACTGTAGTGCTGAATTTCATATCTTGCTTTTAGCTTCTTGAAAAATATGTATTCACCCATTACCCATTATTGATTTAACCATGGCTTACTGAATTAACAGTTTACTGTAACAGAATTATAGTTACTTAAGTATAAATTAATCATACTGGTTGGGAATCCTACAACAAATTAAGGTAAAATGTGGTTGGCTAGTTTGTGATTCAGTGTAGTGTGTGAACACAGAGTAGATGTTTAGTGTATTACAAAAGTGAAACTATACTTTATAAAGACTTTATAACTGCTGCATTTGTCAGTTATATATCTGTTCTATCAATCATCACACCTTCAAATAAGGAACCTATACATAATTGATGATCTAAACAAAAGCAAGATATTGAGAGATTTGAATTAAAATTTAGTCACAGAAAGTTGAATACTCTTTTATCATTTGGTATATCAGATTTGTTACACAAGAGCAACTGAGACTTTCATATATTAACTCTGTATTCAGTCTGTACTTCTTTGTAGTTAGCTATTTTTTCCCTAGAGGTTTGCCAAAGGTAGAACTGTTTCCTTCAGAACAAATTATGCAGTATCTAACACTGATCAAGTTGTATTAGCATTGGGGGAAGAAAGGGAAATTCAAAAGTATCTCTTCTTAGAATTTCAAGTACAATTAAAAGACTGCAGTATATAAAAACTGATATTCCAACTCAGTTGTTCAAACTTCACATGATATATAGGTGATCCATCTTCATTTTAGCCTATGAAGAATTGCTCATAAAATGAATATAAACACTTAGAGCAGAGGTGTCACACTCGCCGCATCACGTGATGTGTTGCAATGTATCGCAACTTTTTTCCCCCTTGCCGGAGCTGGGGTGGGCATGGCTTCCATGTGACGCATCCGGCCCATGGGCTGGCAGTTTGATACCCCTGACTTAGGGCCATTACTTAGATTCCCTCCAAATGAGTTAGGCTAAAGCTCCAGCACTGAACTAGTTTTCAGGCAACTATATAAATGACCAAAATTCAGCATGCAGGTGAAAATTGAGAAAACTTGGAATTCAGGCAGAATTGCAGATCCAAAAACTCTATCAGCCTACAGTAAATTAAAACAATGCCATACGGGTAATCTTTGTTTAGCAACTGTCTCATTTAGTGACCATTCACTTACTATACTAATGAAAAAGTAGCTTTTTTGAAGATTATAAATACAGTCATTGTTTCACTTAGCAAAGGCTTTGCTTAACAAATGTGGTTGCTAAAGGACTACCTGTAATGAAACATTTTATATTTATTTTCTGAATTGTGTCTCACTTGACTACCAATAAATCATAACAAGTAGAAAATAATAAGATAATTAAAATAATTTGATTGTATGCCGGAAATAAGACGACATTGTGATAGTTAATAAATCTATGGAAGGCTCCTTTGCTGAAGAATGATTATCACCAAATCTATCCACTGCAGGATGAATAGCTTCTTTAGTGAAAGTTATTGACCCACACCATGCTTGTCCAGTGCAGGTTGATAGTTTGTTTTTAATTTCCCAAGCTATGAGATAATGATTATTAAGAATCATTAGATTCAAGATCACATGAAGTATTAATACCACTTTACAATGCCTTGGTAAGGCCACACTTGGAATACTGCATCCAGTTTTGGTCACCACGATGTAAAAAAAGATACTGAGACTCTAGAAAGAGAACAGAGAAGAGCAACAAAGATGATTAGGGGACTGGAGGCTAAAACATATAAGGAATGGTTGCTGGAATTGGGTATGTCTAGTTTAAAGAAGAGAAGGACGAGGGGGGACATGATAGCAGTGTTCCAATATCTCAGGGGCTGCCACAAAGAAGAGGGAGTCAAGCTATTCTCCAAGGCGCCTGAAGGCAGGACAAGAAGCAATGGATGGAAACTAACCAAAGAGAGAAGCAATCTAGAACTAAGGAGAAACTTCCTCACAGTTAGAACAATTAACCAGTGGAACAACCTGTCTTCAGAAGCGGTGAATGCTCCAACACTGGAAGTTTTTAAGAAGAAACTGGACAGCCATTTGTCTGAAATGGTATAGAGTTACCTGCCTGAGCAGGGAGTTGGACTTGATGACCTCTATGGTCCCTTCCAACTTTATTATTATTATTATTATTATTATTATTATTATTATTATTATTAATCCAATGTCATCTTACCATCTTCCATGCCTAAGAAAGGAGAAGAATCTGGATCTCTTCACTACTAAAATATTTCAATCAAAAGGCAAATCCAAAGTTTGTTTTCTGAAATATGGATTTGGTACACTGTGAACATTCCACAGTAATTTTAATATAATTGCATTTATGCTGCTAGAAACTGAATTATAAGAGAGTCAGGATTTAGCAGTTATGAGGGCTGTGAGCAACAGTGGTTACATCTCCACCTACACATAGGAAAAGGAAATAGGTCCCTATTCATAAGCTGATTCAGTGACAGGAAGTGGTCAAGAATGAACTGCCTTTCATCTTTTTTCTTTTCAAAGATGGGAATAAATACATTTTTATGTTTAAATTATCAAAATATCAACTGAATTTGACAGATTAACAGCAATTGTTCTGAAGGGTGCTATAGGAATTTTTTTTGCTATTCTAATACCAGCATTTTTAATTTCAATTTTTTCTTTGTACTCCAGAATCGTACCTAAATATTTGTTAGCAATAAAAGTTTTCCAAATATAAAGATGAACAATTTCACATTCCTCTAATTAATATAATGTTCAAATCTGTTTAAACATAAATAAAAAAGTTCAACTCAAAGTCTTGTTCACCAACACACACACACACAACCCCTATTATAAAAGTTTTGACAATTTTGATATTGGAATTTGGACTTATCAGTTTCTTAGTAGCTGCCCCTCCCAACTCATTTTACAAAATAGGAAAACACTCAAGTTCTCAAAATGGTCTGAAAACTAGATATTCTATTATAATAAGATGCCTTACATAAAACTGATTTGCATAGCATACAACAAATATAAGATAATCAGCTGCTGGAATGCTGACCAGTTTCTTAATTTACAATACTGGCATTACTGCCTTTCTTTGTAATTTCTGGTCCTTATCAAGAATAATCCATCTTTTTCTTTTTGAGCAATCACTGTAAGTTATTCTCTAGTCTATCCTATACTGTAGCCCAGATCTAACAAGGTGTATACAACAACAGAATTAAGTGTAAGAAATAATACAATAGCTTGTCACAGTTCCAGAAGCAAAATAGAATTAATTTGGGGAAACCAGTTTTCTATTTTAATTTTTTAAAAAATGAGGGAACTGTGAAGAATCCAATAGCTATTCTTTTCTCTGGTAAGTCTTACTTGTATATAAACAGCCAGCTTGTTGCATTTACTGGCTGAGGTACACTGAAAGAGGAAGTGCGCTCAGCTTTTCGGTACACCTAATTCTGTCCCATTGAAAACAGTCACCTCTAAACCAAAATTACAAAATTCCATTATTTAGCATATACACTTTAGCCTTCAATGTGTTATGATTCTTTGTAATTTTATTATTGAGATACCTTAACCAATGATAATGGATTTTTTCATGGAAAGAGCTCTTCAAATATAATTAGAACCTTAAATGCAGATATTCAAAGAACTTGTAATAGAGTTGTATTTCCAGTGATGATTATGAGTTTTCTTATTAACAGTTTTTGCTACTAACCCATAGGAACTGAATTACTTTTGTTTTGAAAGTAATTTCCATGTTGTCTTCCTACTCTCAGAAGAGTTTGAATGGCTTTATTTAGTATTTGAATACATTGCATAACAGCACCTTCTTAAGCTGGTGCCTGTCGGATGCATTGGACCACCACTCCCAGGATATTTTAGGAATAGTACTCCAACATATTTAGAGGGTATTGAGTTGGGGAAGGCTATCATAGGACATTATGTAACTAGATACATGCCTTTATTTGCTCTGAATAAGGTTTTTTTAAAAATACAAACAGCGGAAGAGCTTTCCATGCACATTAACATGACAGTGTATATGAAATTCTAATATAGAAACTCAAGAATCTGACAATTCTGGGGTGCTCACATAAATTTTAGGTAATGGCCATGTTGATTTCACAGCCATTTGATAAATTGCCTCTTCCATTATCAATACTCTCCAGATTGAATTTAAAAGTTTCAAAATGTAATGTATATTTGATTACAAAGTAAATGCATTTTTCAAAAAGCTAATAATTTTCATTGACTGAGACTTAAAATTAAAACAGAG